TGCATGGAGCTAGAGACTCCTAGTCAGCCATAAGACTCGTGAGACTGAAACTGAAACTAGAAGTGTAACGAGTGATGAAGGGGCGTAATCCAAGACAGCAAATAAACGTGAGAGAAGCAGTCAAGACTTAAGGAAAAACAACAAAATATCATGGTTATCAAACTGAATAATAAACAGACATGAAGATCAGCAATACGAATGGGAGATCAAGCATGTAAGGCTGCTTATGTATAATGTACTTTATGTACTTACATTCCCAGCGTCGATATCGGTAGGGCAAGGATATAAGCTACGAACCATAGTAGGACGGGTCGCTTGAGCTCGGTTCCTTTAGACTCCCTTCCTGTCCAACCATGGATTGGAACCAGCGGTAATCCGGTTTTCGTACTTATGCGCTCGGACGTTCCGTTGCCCTAACCGACTCAGCCAGCTGCCTGTTCTTGACCAGAATTCCGAATCAGTTCTTAACCCGGCCCTTGCATCACCTGTGAACTTCTTATGGATGGCCGGCGAATACAAATTCAGTGGCTAAAAGGCCGGGAGCCTAAGGAGGAGGCGTCCTCGGGGCATCGTGATAAAGAAAGAAACTCGTGTGGTCGATGTTTACTTTGCTTTGCCATCTTCTGCCATCTTTTTGCTTTGCTTTGCCTGACGGATGATCGAACACTCCGAAAAGGCCTTAGTGGCCGGTACCCCGACGCTCCACACCACCATCATGTCCTGTCACACGGTGCACGGGCACCACTGCATGTTTCTCACCCAGGAGTAGACTTGCGATTGCCCACGGCATAGCCTTGTCACATTTGCCACGGAAAATCAAAGAAAATCGACAAACAGCAAGATAAATCGATAATAAATTGGGGCAGGCACTCTGGACTTTGCCAGTGCCGGGAAATAAAGAGATTTCCTGCGCACGGGTGCCGTTACCGATATTTCGTGCATCATTTGATTCTTTTCTTGGCCCATCTAGAGCAATATATGTTTTGTAACCATTATTTTAAAGAACCCATTAAAAGGAAATAAAGGTCGAACACGAGAAGTGGCTCTGTGGAGAGTAAGCGGGTGTTTTATGATAGGAGAGGTAGCGTTAAGCATTTAAAACCCACTTGAAGCATTTCGTAAACAGGTAAACCAGTTCGTCTGCCGCCCTGCCCGTCCCGTCTCCTCTGATCATCAATCGGGTGGCTTAGGTGACGGATGGGACAATCAGGCTCAATTATGTCGGTCCAATATATTTTGTTTTGATCCTGACTGGTCCACGAAAGAAGCATACCTACCTCTGGTTGTGGGCCCTGTATGTACCATTGTTGGTCGTGATGCCGACTTTTTTTTTTTGTTGCATGTCCAGAATGAAGTCAAGGGACCTATATGATACCAATTCTAAGCCCGTTGGCTGTTGATTGGTTACACTTGCGGGAAGGACTCGCTGGTTCTGCTGGCTCCGGCTTTCTCATAAGGGAATCCTTTTTTCTTTTCTTCTCCTGGATATTCCCTTGTGTCCATAAAAGGATAGGATTGTCTTCCATCCATTTAAGTTCTTATTTGCTAATGCCCGGACACTGCCCGTAAGAAAAGTCCTTATTCAGGGCATATTTTCCATGTAGCCTGAGTCTGAAGGGTGGATGGGCGCCACAAGGGGAGCTACGGCGTTGATTCCAAGTTAACTGGAATTCAGCTGGTTTTATCAGTCAGTCAGTATCGTCACTATGTTTGAAGAGTATATGACGAGACTTCTCCAGACCACAAAGTATTCAAGTATAATGCTATAGCACCAGGGGTAATTACCCAGGAAATTGGTCGTACCACGGCAGCGCAAGTCCGGGTACAGGAATGCTCATCCTCGATCGCACCTGCTATCCAGAGTTCTCTTCTGTTCCACGACGAGTATTTTGTCTTTCTGGGAGGTGCGATTTACCTTTTCTATTGGCGCATGGGCCTACCCAGCAAGCGAGAAAAGCAATATGACAACAAGGTGGTAGGTAGAGTGGCCCTAGAGAGCGAGCATGGCGCTGCCGTGCGCAACGGTCCCAACGTCTCGAAAAACGTGGTGGTTGATTCATAACTACAGGTCGAAAGGTCCGCGTATCGGCGTATCCGGACTCGTGAATTCGATAACTCTCCCTTTTTCCCTTTTCAAATTTTTTTTATTTAGTTTTTTCCCTCCTCCTTTTCTTTTTTGCAATTTTTTCTCCTCACTAAGTGGGTTTCAAAAGTAGAAGACACGAATGGTAGGATTGAACACTCACATGGCCACTGTTAGAAACACGCATACGCATGAGATAAACAGGCTCTTGCGGGCCAGGGTTGATGATTCTCACGCATAGCGTACCGGAGCTTTAGCCGCGATCAGACAGACTACCTGGTTCAGAGGACCGACGGGTTGCGCAAGCGGGACGTGGTAGCGTTTTTGTGCGCCAGTAACCTCGACCGAGGAATCGACACTGCTTGTCTGATTGCCGGCACATGCTTGAAAGCATGCCGGGTCATATCAAGACTCCACATCCACATCCACATAAACCATTAATCCTCACTCCATATGGATTCGTCGTATGTAACGCAAAAAAAGAGAGGGAAAAAGCAAGGAAAAGAGAAATAAGGAAGTAAGAAAAAGAAAAGAAAGAAAGGATGAAAAAGGAAAGAAAACCAAGAATACAAGTGCAACTGGGCTTTCTACACTCTCACTACATATCATCGGCATGGAGAGAGGAGGACCGGACCATGGCCAGGTAAGCAGGCCTTCTTTTTGCCCCTTCACTTTAAATTGGGCATGCCCCCACAAAGACAATTGCAAGCCTACTATTTTATTTTGCAGTAGAGTGGATTTTTTTATAGCCGGTGGATGCACATATACCTAAACATGTCTAGATCCATACTTTGTAGTTACCATATCTCCTCCCCTTCGCTTCCCATGAATGAAACATTTAGGGTGATCTAGATTTACTTGTAACCCGTCTCGCTCCCACCCGTTCGGTTCTTGCATTGTCTCTCTCTGCCCCCTTTGCGTTGTGCTGGCATGTTGGCTCCTCTCGATCTCCACACTGTCATCATCCATCTCCATCATCCATCCATCCCCACTCTTCGAGAAAGTAACAACTACATGTAACTCAACTAAACTCACCACCTCCTCTACTAACATTTACGTTCCTTTTCCACCCCCCCCCCCCCCCCTTCTTCCCCCAATTGCCTCCAACCCCCTCTTGTCCCTCCCCTCCCTCCCCGGATGCATGCCCGACTATCATCTTCTCCAGCCGCCGCCTAGTGTTGCCTTCTATTCTTATTTCGTCACCCGAGACACTGCGCGCTGCCTTTCTCGAAGCTCGGGGTCCACAAGGTCTGGCCAGACTGGATCCCCCAACCGTCAATCTGTCAAGTCCCAGTTTGGCGCCGTGTCTTGCGCTGTTGACCCTTCTCGTCCAAATCTGCAAGCCGTTGTACGGAAATATCCCACCCACACGTCGTCCAGAGATCCTTTCCCCGTTCATCCCTCCCAACCAACCCCTCTCCACCCTTCCCTCCCATCTCTATTGTCTTGATTCCTTCATGCGCATGTGCATGCTGCAGTGCTCCGAGAGAGAGAGAGAGAAAAAAGATTGAGCAAGCGTATTTAATTTTAATTGAATCAAGTTAAATAGTATTGGTATTCTCTCTCTCTTCTCTCTCCCTCTCTCTTGACTGTTTGCATACACTCTCGCACCAAGCAAACTGGGGAAAGGTGCAGGAACTCGAGAGCTAGAGTGAAAGAAATAAGAAAAATAAGCACACAGTCTGCCAGTGTGCACAAAAAAAAAAAAAAGGTTGTGAGAGATTATAATAAGTGTGAGAGTGGAAAAAGAGGGAAAAAAAAGGTGACGAGAGCTCGACAGCCACTCCGTAATCAATCACCATCATTATCACAGTCCTCCAGTGAACACTGGTCAACTAGTCAATCCTTTCCCCTCCCCAAGCAAACCCACAAACAAACCCACCCTGCTAAGGTCCGGGCTTCAACCGTCACTACCCTACCACCTTCTCCCCTCCTCCGGATCACCTCTTACTTTACGTACATAATAACGCCCTACCTATCTCTCCCGGCAACTTCCTCCTCTCGTTCACACGTTCACACGTTCGCATTTTTTTCGTCCTTCGTTGCTGCAGCGACTTATATACCTCTACTTTCCAGCGAAAACTAATACTTTCACGCGCTGTTGTGTATTTCACAAGTCTCTGGTTGCGTTTACGGCTGAGTTTATCAACTTCGCTTGGCATCTTTTCGCCAGCATCCGTTCACTTTATTGCGCCTCATCCATCCACAACCACGACCGGACGAAACCAGAGTTCACCGCGTTAGGAATTGTTTATTCAAAAATTGTAACGAAATTTCACCAGTACCGCTGTGATCAAGTTTGAAACACTAAGTTTCTTCAGAGAGACGGTTTAAAAACAAGGAAAGTTGGAAGGGAGGTCACAACAAACATTTCGAGGGGAGGGGAAGAAGATAAAGGCCAAAGGCGGGGCAGATAAACGTGCTTTCTAAAGGAGAGAAAGATAAGGTTGTAAGAAAAGGAAAAAAATCTTACAAGAGGAGGGACTGCATTCTTCTGTAGAGAAGCTCTTTGCACAACATCCATTCCCTAGCTGTCTGTTTTCACATGGCCATCACGTACTAGAGCTTTTGACTCCTTTTACGACAGAGGTATCTTATAGGGGACAGCGCACAAAGAGGAACATTTCGCGGACCATCAACGTTGTAGCCGCCCGGTAAGACTATCAAGTGGCCCGGGCTCCCGCTTTGGTGCCTTTCTTCAGGGTCGCTGCCATATAAGCCGTACCCTCGCATTGTCAAGTGGAACTTCGAGTTTTGTGAAACATCGAACCCCTTCGTACCTCCGCAACACCAGAGTTTGCTCACCATTTTAACATCAAAAAGTAACTACTCCCGTGAGCTTCGCTGAGAGCATCGCTCCATATTCAATTGCTATTTCTGGGGGGTTGTACTCGACACGCAATCGAGTGAAGCTTGAATGAACTCCCACACGTTTGTTGATGCCTCTTCAAGAGTGGGAAGGCTGAGGAGGTAAGGGATCGTTTTATCTTGTCGAGTTATTCTAGGGTTAATGCTAAATTCCAAATTTAGTGAGGATTATGAACTACATATCCGCCAAGGGCCTGAACGTGCTCGGGTTGCTGGTGTGAAGGAGAAAGGTACACATTTCCTGAGATGTCTGTTATTTCGATCGGGTTGTTAATGAGTCTGGAGCTCTAGATCGTAAGCCGGTCGATCCTCCGCCGATAATTCAGTTGAAAATTCGAGATGATTCAGATCCAGCACAGTAGGTTATTGCAGTTTTCTTTTCATCGATTCGTGCGCTGACGGGGGAGATACAGGAATTACCTCCAGAGTCCTTACTATTTCATGTGCACGAATCTTTATAGTTCTGTCCATGACTCCCCATCTCCAATACCACCACACCAAGCGTTAGCTGGCACATTGGTATCCTCCCTTCACCGATTAAAGGATATCGACAATAGCGGTATGTTTTCTCTGAAGATTGTAAGCTTTAAATACAAGTGCTGACATTTTAGATGGTGGGTTTTTTGTCTTTGGCGATCTGTCAGTTAAAATCGAGGGGGAGTTCCGTCTGAGGTTTAGTCTCTTTGAGATGTTGAAGTGAGAATTCATATCCTAGTTCTATTCTCTGTAGCCACACTGACAGCTTTATTAGAAATGAAGTAGTTCATATCAAGTCGATCACTTCAGAACCGTTTACAGGTCCGTTCAGTTCTCATAGAATTATACAAACTTAATCTAACATTTCCTAGTCTATGCGGCCAAAAACTTTCCAGGAATGTCTGAATCTACGTTCCTGTCTCGCTCATTCGGAGATCAGGGAGTCCGATTGCGTATTAGGAAGGAGCCAAGAACTCTGTTGTTAGAAATAATCCCCCCCAGGTTCATGATGCATGGGTGCTAATATCTTATAGAAAACGGCCACCTTCTGGAATAGGATCCGTGGAATATCCGCCGCGCCCACCATACCCTACCTTGCCTCCAGAATCAAGACCCCAAGGATATCCACCACAGAGTGGATATATGACCTCTCCAAGCCATGAATACCCACCTGTTTATGGCGATCAGGGGAAACGACGGAGGACTGATGTTATGAGCCCGCGGGATAGTCGGGGGGAACCTCAATATGCGCCTCGTCCATACGACCAACCGCAATACCCCATGTATCCACCCTCATCTCAATCTGGGCAATATTCGGCATACCCCAATTACCCACCGCCGCAAAATTCATATGCACCCCCACCTCCACCTGAATATAGTGGATACCGTCAGCCACCACCACCCCCACCACCGCCACCACCACCGACGCACTCGCATTCCTCGTCGACCTCCTCACCATACCAGTCTCCGAGGACTTCTCAATACCCACTGCACCGTTCACCTCTGCCTCACAATCAATCCGCCCCCCAAAGTCAATACCAATACCCACCTGGTCCTCCACAGACACAACTCCAGCATGGCCAACAGCCGCCTTCTCGGCCGCAAATCGGGACCTTGATTAGGTCTCCCGTGCCAACATCAGGGATACCTCCCCCACACCCGAGATCTCAACAGGTCCAGCACCCTTCTCATTTGAGCTCAACCGCATCTCCTGCCTCATCGATGCCTATGGCTCCGCCACCAGCGTCGCCTCATCGTCAGCCCCAAGGGAGTCAGGTGTATCTGCCCCCTTTGCAGTTGCCGCCGATGACATCCGGCCCGCAGCAGTCTTCGGTGGTGTCACATAATGCCATGCCGCCGATGTTAACTCAACAGTCTGGGTATGGTCCTCCAACGTCCTTTGATTCCGCTGCTCAACAGCAGTCTTCCGCTTAGCCACCTTCTTATGCTGGTTCTTTCTATTACGCAGTTACGGTCGAAGCGAGGGAGATAAAAAAAGAAAGAGAGCTTTTGAATAACCCTTGTTATTTTGGAGCGTAATGTGCATTGCCTCGGATTTTGGGTTTGTTTATTTCTATTATCTCATATATTATGGATTTTCAGTATATTGCGTTGCTTCTTTTCTTTTTTCTTTCTTTTTTTGGGCTCGAGCATGAGATAGGTTTTTTAATGCTGTCGAATAAATAGCAGAGGAATCAAAAGGGGGCGAGGTGGTGACCTAGTGCTCGGGGAACATAGTGGGGTTTCTTTTCTTTTTCATGTTCAAGGCGCAGAATTTGGCGGTTTCATAGCATCACGATTTCGAACGACATATTCATATATCAATAGGGTTTTCTTATTTTTTTTTCTATATTCTTTTCTTTTTATTTTATCCATTTTTCTTTTGGGGGCAGATGATCGCAGAAATATATTGGGCACTCGGAATTTTCGTATCTATTTGGTTCAGCTGAAATTGGATATATGGGTTATTCTCACTTCAGTAATTGGAGTGAGAGAAATGCTCGGGGTAAGTGAAAAACGACATGGTCGACAGGTTTCATCCCATCTTGCGTTTCTTCAGGTGACATTACATTATTTTCTCATCATGTAATACATGTATCTATGTTTCACTCAATCACGTTGTTTCCCGTGATATATCTATGCAAAGTGAGGGAGCAGGAAGCCTGACACTTGCGTCTGCATAAGCATACACCATGTAGATAGTAGAGTTTTACAGCATACAAATTTTTGGAGGCGGATAAAGCTCCTTACGGTAGCTCAGATCGTTTAACTTACCGCGTGCTGTCCAGACTGACCAATCGGCAAAACCACGAGGCGCACAGGCAATAATAAACGGAATGTGTCTTAGTTTGCGCCATTCGCTTCTCAGAAGCTGCAGGGCTTTAACTTTTTCCAGTGTCTCAGCTACGGAGCTTCTTTTGGGCTGGCAGAGCCCCAGCTCGGATTACTTCGGTTTCTCACCTCCTATTGGTCCACCTCGCGGATGAACCAAGGTTACCTGGCGAGGATGTGCAGTTGCCGTGCCACACGGCTGCCGAGCCTCAAGGGGAGCCACTAGCTTTGAAGATCACGATTCACCAAATTGGCAACACGCCCAAACTGAGTAGGACCACGTGAGAGGGTGTATCAGACCACCCGCGCGCCCAACAGCTTATTTTGTTGTGCAGCACACACCATTTGCTGTTTCACAGCGAGAGGAAACGGAAACCCTCGACTCAGACATTGAAGTCTCAGAACTGGTAAAGTGCAATCACTGACGCACTAGGAAACTACAAAAGGTCATCTCAGATAAACTGGCTATCCTGCAGTGAATGCTGAATGGTAGTTCACGCCCTAGGACTCCAAACCCTAGTTTTAAAACTCACCTGCATTGGTGGCGTCCCTTCTCATCTTTAACCCGCTATTCTTCCAGTGTTGAGACGAGAGCAAATATGGCAAATCTGGTGACTGACATTTCCATCGTGGCTGGTTGGAATCCACGGATCAAAGACTCGCCCGCTGAAGTGTTCATTTACACAAAGGTCTTATATCCCCTTGTAACATGCAGTCTATGTTTCCTGTCCCTTGCATCATGTTTCCCTGTTGGTTCTAGAACCATGGTCCGGCAGCGGTAAATCTGAGGCTAACTTAATATTTCCCGTGGTTGTTTTGAGCCAAAGATCACTCCGCAGCCTGCCGCGAAGGTTTCTCTACTCCACCTCCAGAGCCTTGTTGTAAAGACAACCCTGTTGCGCATTATCCCGCTGCTTCCGGATGGTACCAGCCCCCGTGAATCCCCAGGAATCCGTGCCTTAGGGATCCCGGTCGTTGCTGGGAGGAACCGCACAGTTCCTCAGACCCCGGTCAATCAGAGAAGATTTAGTGAAGCCACACTGGATGGTGTCGAATCAGTCACTTCTTGTGACTCTCAAAAAATCCCACATGATGGCGAAACCCCTCCTAGAGAGGCAGGAGAGAAGCAAGACGTAGGGGCCGTTCGAGGAAGGTCGGGGTCAATTAGTCGCGGCCTGCTCAGGCCTAAACTCATTTCTAGATATGACCTGTGCCACAGATATGAAGAAAGTTCTTCAGACGAGAGCACAGAAGACATATTTTCCACACCTTTCAAGAAGTTCGACCCTAGCAAAATAATAACTTTCCCCGGTTTTGGGCAAGGGCCTCGTGTGTGTAGCGGGGAGTTTATGTCTTCCGAGGTAGGTATAAGTTATTTTCGAGACATTAATGGGCAGTTTAAGCAAGCCGAATTTTCTGATTGGCAAAGTACTCTCGGCCGCTCTAACAATTCTTGGAATCCCACTGTACCTCGAAACTATAAAAGGAAGGCTAGGATCTGTTCAATCAGTTCTATCGGAAGAGAGTTGTCTCCGATGACAGAGAGGACTCTGAAAAGAATTGTCGAGCTTCACGCCCCGGTTGCTGATGTGAACATTGGGCGAGATGGCGCTTCCGAAGATTCAGAGGCAGTGTTGCGTTCCTCTAAAATTGCAGCAGGAAATGCAACGGCGGCAAAGAGTTCTTCGGAAAGTAACACCATGATTGCTCTCGAGGGAGAAATGGCGCCACAAGGGCTTCCTGAGGTGGGCGATGATACAGCACCTGCTGCTGTAGATGAAAATGATGGGTGTGAAGACGAACAAGCCGTGTGCAGTGAAACCACAATGATTATCGAGAAAGATACATTATGTATATTCTTCCCAAACAAAATCCGTGGTGATGCTGTTGGTACGCCCATGGAAGCCCCCCCCCCTTTCAGTCAATTGATTTTCTCTCTGATTATGTTACAGTTATCGAAGTAATGTTGGAGATCAACCCACTCTATATTGAGGGAAAAACCTATGCAACGTTTATCCTCGCAGGGCTACCACATTGTAAAAACGGCGCCTACATCAATTTTCGGATCGATGATGAAGATGATTGGAAGTTTCACACGTTCCCAGCACTCAATACTGTTGAAACGGGGGACACAGAGGAAAACAAGCTCCACGGCATTCTTGATTTGAACTTGGAAACTAACCCTATCCATCTTGATCGCTCTGTTGTTATTAGAACACTTAGGTGCCCAATGGTCCTCGAAGTTTTGGGATTTGAGATGAAGACGAATGTTCATGTGGACTTTTCATGGTCACCCTTGAATGAAAAAATAACTGGAGAATTTGAGATCACTCTTTCCTTTCTGAAAGTTGAGTCAGACGAAGATGCAAAGCGCAGTGTCATTAACCTTTTCCTTATCAATGGTCCTGAAAGACAGGATGGGCTGAGCGTCGATTCTCCTGGAGGCTCTCCAACAGACTTTGTTCTTGGGGATCGTGAATTTCAAAACAATGAGATTAGTGCACGACGTTGCAGGCTCCTCCGAGTTGAAAGACTAACGAAAGATGTTAATCAAACTCTACGGATTCGGTTTAATAAACAGTTTACATCAGTGACACAGGATGTTGGTATTCCTTTTGTCCGGACTAGTGGTGATACCACGATCCTCGAGGAGAGTGTCACAATCATAAACGCTAAATTACCTCTGGAGGCTGCATTTACTCCAAATTCGAAATCGTGGAAACCGTCTAAAAAGCTTGGATCCGATACCTTCAAGACATTTACGAGAATAGAAGTCAATATAAGAGAACCAAATCCATCTGTCTCTATTTCATGCCTTCAACCCGCAATGTCTCCCACGGCAGAGGCAATGAATCTGGCCCTGATTAGGGGCCGTAGTGAGTTTATTGACAGAATTGACTACAAGGTTGAAGAATCGGAGTGCTTTGATGATAGACAAACTCCAATTATAGTAGTTAAAATGAGTTTTGAGCTTGATGTTCCTCCTGGTGTAGAACCTATGGGAGAAATCGTTCGATTTCATATTGGGAGTTTCGCATTCCAGTTTGTTACTATTAACGGAGGGTTGACCGGAAAAGGTGTACTCTTTGAGGATGGTGATGAGTTGATAGTTTTGAACTTTGGAATTCTTGATGGCACTAAGAATGGCGAGAAATTACTGGTCAGCGCCGAATGGTTTGGCGAACAGGGTTTGAGGCTCTCGTGTGGGGAGATAATAGAATTCAGATTACCAAGGGTGACGGGAAAGGTTGTGGGAAAAACTGTCTTTGAGTGTGCAGATAAGAAAGGCATGTTATAGATATGCGTGCTTCCACCCCAATCTATAATCTGTGCTACTAACATGGATCGACAAAATCTTATAGCTTCCATCCTATCTCTGCAATTAAATTACCAGAATAAGGCCACTTCTGGTTTCACCAAGGGGAAGGTCATACTATTGGGTATGGACACTGATAAGAGTGAGATATTTTTCCATATTCCATGCAAGAGTGTCTGTAAGTCTTTATATGGCTCTATTGTGACCACGAGTGACGTTTATGGCACTGTTTCGTCAAACTCCCGTTCATTTGGGAGTCTAGAGGACCAAAAACAGCCAGAAAACTCTGCACAGGAAGCTCATCAAGAGCACCAAGATGCCCCGCCCCATTGGATGTGGGAGATGAAGGAAACGCTGATGGCGATCATGATCATCTGGATGCTTTGCATGAGCCTGATATCACAATCAAAGCAGAACTCGGCGCTTAGAGCTTCACTTCGCCAAACAACAACCATGTTGGAGAAGAGAGAGATAATAATCCACGACCAGCAGAAAACACCCCCGAAAAACGAGCCCCATGCGCAGTCCCCAAGAAGGTTCAGAGGGGGCTCTGAGGATACGTGGTGGTCTGTGGTGGGCCTTGAAGACACTCAAGAGATCGGCCAATTTAAAATCGGCTTTTTAAAGATGGATAACCCAAACTCTGATCACAGCACTTGCGATCCAGCGGAAGCTGTTTCTGATTGCAAAAACACTGACATTACGGAGACCGGCACACCGCCGGTCGTTGATATGGGGAGCAACTCCGATGTTGTAGATCAAGCCGAAGAGACCACATCAAAGGCTCCCGACGAACCAAAGGACTGGGCAGAGCATGACAACAAGGAGCTCCAGAAGAGAGTAGCACTGCTCCTGCAAGAAAGCTTTGCAGAACGGGCCCAGAGTGTTCTGGTACATTTACTTGAGCTCTTCTGGCACCTTATAGTTGGGGGAGAGCGTGCTGAACTGTAAGTAACCGCTTTGGGATGACCGGCGGGACGGATTGGGCACTACTCTAGAGGAAGTGCTCTTTTGCAGACCTTTGCGCAGAGGCTGAGCTCGTTGTTAATTATAAGTTTTTAATAAAAAAAAAGTGCAGGACCCCTCTTCTCTTAAAGCGTGTTTGTGCAATTGATCCGGAAGCACCATAAATAAATTACCAACAAATCTGGAGGCACGAGAACTTTCTCGATGACCGAGTGATCTTCCATGACGACAAGTGTAGAATACAACATCCCAGTTCATCATAGATAGACAGTCTCAGGACTAGACCAATTCCCACCAACAAGTTAAAAGTCAATCCGTAGATCCTACTATGCCATAGCACATAAAAAAAACAATCCATTACACCCCAAAATCAAAATATCAAAAAAGGTTAAGTTTCGTTCAACCACTACCACCGCGATTCATTTTGGGGGATGTTCCTGAGATGGTCCAGATTCAATTTCTATATAAAGCCCGGGACCGGGGGGGAAAAACAAGCAACTTTTACACCCCTCTTCACACACAAAGCGTAATAAAAACACCACCATATCCCATTCTCTCCCCTCTTCCCCTTCCCCTAATCATGACATTGAAAGGAGTGCTGGGGACGAAGGGAGAGTAGAGAGGAAGAGAAGAAAAAATAACCAAAAACATCTGCAACACTATAAGCAAAAGCAACCCCCCTCCCCCCGTCCCCCGTGCCCCCTACAAAGCCATTAATACCATCCAAAACAAAACCATAAAACCATAAAAACCATATAAACCCCATAACCAATTCCCCCCTCTTAACCCCCCTCTTAACCCCCTCTTAACCCCCCTCCACCTTAACCCCCCAGCTCCCGCCCCAGCTCCCGCCGCCGCACTAGTCCCCGCCGCAGCAGCAGCAGCAACAATCTCATGATGCTGCTCCTCCAGCCACCTGGCCAGCGCCAGCAACGGCTCCTTCGGCTGCTCCCTCGCCAGCATCTTCATCCCCTCCAGCAGCACCGGCGTCACATTCTCATTGAGGTACCTCCTCGCCGGCGCGCCGCCGGGCGGGATCTGGTTCTGGCGCGCTTGTGCAGACGGTGCTTGCGGGGGCGGAGGAGGTGGCGGCGGGGTGGTTGTGGTTGTGGTTGTGGTTGTGGTGGAGGTGTGGTGGAGGAAGTAGTTGTTTTGCTTTTAGTAGGTAGCTGGTGGTTAGTTTATCTGTGGCTGTAGTTGTAGATTGAGGGAGAATTGAGGGGGGGGGGGGGGGAGAAGGGTACCTGCGAAGTCGGCGACTGCGTCGACGTCCCCGGCGGGGACGCAGTATACGGGTATCCCGCGTTCGAGCCCGAGGTGTACGGCTTATTCTGCGGGCTATGGCCCTGGTACGGGGACGTCATCTGCGCGTACGCGTACGGCTGCTGCTGGGGCGGCGGGGGCGGCGGTGGGGGTGGGGGTGGGCGGAACCGCTCGTTGACGGGTGAGTGTGATGGGCGGTGTGTGGTGCTGCCTGCGTAGTCGGGCAAGTGCTGTGCGGCGGAGGTGTAGCTGTTGTGGTAGACGGGTTGTGATTGTGGGTGTGGATGTGGATGTGGATGTGGTGGTTGTTGCTGGGTGGAGGTCGAGGTGTAGTCCGGGGGTGGAGGTGAGGTCAGGCTGGTCATGGACAGATCGGCCCTTGAGCGGTGATGGGGCGCGTGTTGCTGGTGGTGCTGGTGCGGGTGCGGGTCCATCGCTGGCTGGCCGGGGGGGGGGGGGAGAGGTGGAAGTGGTGCTAGTGGGGATGCTAGGATGGATGCGGGATGGGGGGAGGGGGGGAGACAGCCTGATGGGGCTAGAGGCTAGAGGCTAGAGGCTAGAGGCTAGAGGCTAGAGGGGGTTGTTGCTGTTGGGGTTGGGGTTGGGACTGTTGTCCAGGTGGTTTGTGGTTGCGGTGGTTGCGGTCTGTCCCTGGCCTGTGCCTGAGCTAGTAGGGATGTGGATGGAGGGATGGGCCTGTGGTGGACCTCACTGGCTGGGATCGAGGGATCTCAATTGAAGGCAGAGCGGATATGTAGGTGATCGAGTATTCTACAGACACCACGGGTATGTGTCCAAGCGGCGGTATACTATAGCACTATAGCACGATAGAGTGGATGGGCGGTATAATATGGAAAGTCCGCCCGTTCACACAAGGCGAGGGAGGTCGCGTTCTGTATCACTGCTTCGCGATATTGCGTCCTGCCAAGACAGTGGGTGCATAACGAGCAGTGCATATACGGCCCATCCTGCATATTGCGCTGTGCATCTGGGTAGAGATCGCTTGAATAGCATAAAATTACAAAAAAAAAAAAAAAAAAAAAAAAAAAGGACTTTTATATCTACAAATGTCTGACAGCTACCTGCCATTATTGGTATGTATGGCTATTACGTCTCAACCTCAGGCACTTTGCTTTCACCCGATGCCTTGTCCTCGCCGCCAGTAGCTCCATCCTCCTCGCCAGCATTGCCTTTTCCGTGCTTCCTTCTTCGCTTCCTCTTTTCCTGCGTGCTTGATTCTCCGTCTGCCTTTGCCGCTCCGCTCGCCCCGGCATCCTTCTTGGGCGGTCGAGCAGCAGCACCTTCGCCCTTTGGCCTCGGCGCCTCGGGCTTCTTCTTCTTCTTTACACTCAATGGGTTTGGTCCCTTTGGCCCCCTCTGCTTCTTCTTTTTCTTCTTTTCCTCGCCCTCACCCTCGCCCTCACCCTCACCCTTCCCCTCACCCTCCTCATCAATATCCATCGGGTCATCATTATCGTCCCTCTTCCTCTTATTCGCATTTGCCGGCTTAGGCCTCGTGTCCTTGATCCCCAGCCTAAACTTGACCATCTCCCCCCTCTCCCTCTTTATCGTCGAGATTGGCGCCATCGCCTCCATGATCATGACCGAGCGGTTGATATAGATCAGCGGCACCCCCGGCACCGCCCTCAGCGCCTGTCGCACATCCGGCATCTGCGTCGCCACGCAGTAGCGGTGCTTGTTCTCGCCGTTGTGGACGACGACAGACTCGATGCACTCCTTCTCCGGCAGCGGCTCCTCGAGCTCGTGGTGGTTGCAGCGCCGGCGCTCGTAACGCTTCGCCGTGTCGATGGCCAGGTCCTTGTCCGGGAACTCGGCGGCGGAGAGCTTGTAGAGGTGGCGGATGGAGCATTGTGTTATCACTGTTTTGATACCCCGGTGTTAGCTTAAAGTAAGTATGGGGGGGAGGGGTTATGTATGCCGTAGTTTGGTGTTTTTTTTTTTTTTTGGAGGGGGGGGGGGGGGTGTACTTGGTTTCGTTTGGCCGTGGAGGGTCCGTTCGAGACCACCAGCAAGGTCCATTTTAGATTTTGTAGCGTCTTTGACAATCTCCGCATCCACTAATCCACAAAGAAAGCCGAGTCAGTCAGTATCCAAGCAGAACAACACCTGCAAATCAGGGCTCAATTGAGCCTCACCTAGAACTTGGTAGGGCTCTCGGAAGCCGAAACTCATCTGGTACTGCGACATGAGCTTGCGGTATGCTTTTGATCGCTTTCCCCTCATGTTTGCAGTGTTTGGTGGTGAATTAGTTGTCTAAAGATAGCTATTTTTGGTTCTGGTTATGGCAATGGTGGGTGTAGTAGTAGTCGCAGTCAGTTACAGTCGCAGTTGTGAAGGGAGCGGTCGGTGGTGTAATTTTTCCTGTGAACATGCACGGACGCGCCGGGATCTAATTTTTCTTAGCCTCAGTTCTGGTTCGAGGCTTGGCGGTGGGGGAGTGATGGCTTGTGACGCCCTGGTTGTCAATGATTTGGATAGCACATACTCTCGAGTCCGTATTTCTTTACAGGTAATATGCCCATTAAAAAATAGGACACTTTTGTAGACTTGGATTCGTGTTCTATTGGCGCACTCGTGACAGAATCGGGGTTATGGACAGAGTTGGATGATATTTATAAGTGGAATGAAAAGATTTCATATGTCCAGGTTTGATATATTTAGTATCATCATTGATAGATACCTCAGAGAACTTATTACAGAGCAGTAGCTACAATGTGGTTTGGTGATGGGCTAGGGTGATGTTGGCGATGGAGACCACTCATCGCGCTATTTATCCTGGGACCACGATGTCCTTTTCGATGTGTCTTCAAAACAATGAAAAGTGTCTCCACATGCTTACAGCCGTGATTTACGCGTCTTCCACCCATTCTCAATACGCCCGGTCACATGTTTTATGATCCTCAATATCCGTCAAAGTACTGACCACAATGCTCACAGTTTAGTGGACCATAATTTTCAAGATGAAACCAGAAAATGCCATTCCCTATCCCGTCCCACTATAGAAAAACGTCACAAGTAACTCCGTTTAGCTGCATGAGTTGAAGAAAAAGGAAGGAAAAAAGAGCTTTTTGTTGATTGTTATTTTTATTTTTAATATCCAGTTTTTTGTTCCCAACCAAATACGCCCATTACCACAACGTTACGCTTAAGCAACAAGGGCGGAAGCAGTGGCGGACTCGCTGTAGAAGTAAAGAAGAAAAACCGTCAGCACACCACCATCAAACAAATATACAAGCAAAAGCCGGGGGGGTAACAAACTATTTCCAGACAGGGGGCAAGACACCGACGGTCTTGTAGTAGCGGGAAAGACGGTGGATCCTGGACTCGATGAGAATGAGACGGAACTTGGAGTCCTTGTCCTTGCGGTTGCGCTCAAGGTGCTTTCGGACGGCGACGGCCTTCTTGATCAACATGTACAAGTCCTCTGGGATCTCGGGGGCGAGGCCTTTTTTTTGTAAAAAATATCACTCTGTCAGTCACAATGACCAAGCAGAGGCAAAACTGAATTGGGGGTTTTTGAGTTTGCGCCCTTGGAAGGGTGATGAGGGTGGGGGGAAAGGAGTTCATGGAGGCGCTATACCGTTTCCTTTCAAGATACGGAGGATCTTGTTACCTAAAGTGGGTGTTAGCGAATCAAACTACTCGTATAGAGGGATTGAAGCTCTGTAGAAACCGTACCAGTAACAACCTTGACCTGGGCAATTCCGTGGGAATCACGGAGGACAACACCAATCTGCGAAGGGGTGGCACCCTTCTTGGCGAGCTTGCAGATCTGCTCCACGACCTGCTCGGGACTAGTCTTGAGCCTGTTCCTGTGTTAGTAATTTCGTCCTTTTTTCTCGCCGAGGATAATCTCGTGAAATTGGGAGCTGAACGAACCAGGTGGGGCGGGTCCTAGAGTAGGGGATGGCGGAGGCAGAGATACCCTTTCCGTTGGAGTGAAGACGACCCATTTTTGCTGATTATTGGTGGTTTTTTTGTTTGGTGGAACTGGAGTTGATAATTTGGCGATGTGTTGTCGTTGGTGTTGTAAAATTGTCGGCCAGGCTTTCGCGATTGTGGGAATGGAGGGTTGAGGTGGGTCTTGGCGATTAGGCTTTAGGGCTGCGCCGCGAAAGAAGCAGTCACTTGTCAACAAGCGCGAAACGCGATTGATAGTCTGTGACGCTAACCCATGTTTCCACAAAATAAGGTTCGCTTCCCGCTTGTTACGTGCAGAGCCAATCAAAGTCTTGAAACCCTTGTCTCGTCTCGCTTTTCGCACCAGCATATGAACACAACTGTTCTCCTTCTCAAAAGATGGAATATCGATCATTCACTTGAGCTGCATCTCGCCTCGACCGTTTCTGGCTCACTGAACCCGACAAGTATCACAGGAGTCAATTTACGTCGGCGGCAGCCAACAGCAAAGTACGAACACGCACGACTGGCACAAAAAACAAATAAACTCGTAGAGTATGTGCCCACCCATATCCTGGGACGACCGCATTTGTCGGTGCTTTATCTGCCAGCTAGGCTACCAGCATATATCTACTCATTTGCATTGTTATTTTTCTGGCACCTCTGGCACAGTGCGTCGGGAAACCGTTATCGACCAGAAAATGGGGTTTGCGTAACTGTTAGAACAACAATATAGCTACATATCGTGGGTCCAGCAACATGGGGATCTTAAGAGAAGGGAAGAAGGTATCAGGAACTGCAGGAGCCCGTAATATGCAAATGAGGATCCTGACCCAGCCCCACGCACGCACCTACCAAGTCTCCGAGATACTCTCGTAGATCGGAGGTTTATATCCGCTTGTACAAGCTGTGGGAGGGTCCTTGCACCCATCGATGATGATTTCTGTGTGTCCTAACGGTGCAGGGAGCCTATGATGTGTCCAACGTTCAGCTCAATTTAATATCTGCAGTTTTGTGCTTCGAGGTTGGTGATCAAAGTGCGGAGACCTGCAGAGTGACACTCTGTGAAGCAAATACGGTATCGGATAACGGTGCGAAATCACCATACCAGACCAGACCAAGGCCGCATTTGAAGAGGAATCTTTGTGACCTGCGTTATAATTCAACAGGCTTACAGCGATATATCAGGTCAAGTATGACCCAAGGGTATATTTGATATCGTCGGTTTATGGGATCGATTTTCTTGTTAAATACGGTTTAAATACCGCAAGCTTACAATGAGTTGCGGTAACGCATTATTCCTGTGCCCAGCCTTCTATTCACTGTAAGACTCGGCATACTTAAACAGTACTCATACTCATCCAAGTTGAGACATAGCTTCCGATATGGGGCTCGGAGGACACTCGGGGAATGTTCTGTACCTGTGCCCGTACGCGGATTTAACACATAAATCCAGGTATTATGGAGTTTTAGAAAAAACCGAGGCTCCGGACTTTCTCTGTGGTCTTTAGCTATGCCTTGAGCACTAGGCCATAGCTACACTTAGAGGTCATCAGAGCAGCCAGAATGAGTCAATTTAGGCGATAAAGGTTGAGGAGTAAAGGCCCAACTGCTAGATGGCCAAGGTGCACAGCCATTGCTTTAGTCCGCCACCACAAAGAGAAGCAAGCCAAAGCTAGAGACTTTAGGATCTAGTATTGAGATTTGAGTACGAGATTTAGAGAGGAAATCGTGCAATACGAAGGGAAGGTACTTTTTTTTCTTCTCGCCACTTAGCAGGACACACGTACAGAAAGGCTTTCTGATATCAGTCCAAATGGCCAAGTCCTGCCGGGCTGTGCTTGGGTCTAGGATTTGGCCACAACTTATTACAAATATACTCACAACCGTGTGTGCTCTAGTTCTAGATATATGCATATATATGCCTCTTTCTGGTACCACTAGACACCTTGATGCCAGTACGTTTACGTTTATGCACTCTTATGACCCAAGTTCCAGGTAGAAGAAAAAAAAACTTTGCGGAGAAATTCGAAAATTGGCGCGGCTCTGTCCGGATCCCTGTTTCTCTTACCTATTTTGTTTCCTTTTTCCAAGATAGCGATTCTGTCGACTGACAGCTACAAATTTATAATCACGAGAAACCCGAAATATGCGTTTTTGAATACGGATTATAAAAGAAATATATTCAACTGAATACATGTAACCAGTACCGCGCATGCGCATAATCATTCCCCATCCTTTTCCCCGGCCGAGGTTTAGGTGCCGGTGTATCCCCAATGACCTACCGCAGCGAAGTACCGCACCCGGCTATGTGGCACCACTCATCTAGTATCACTCGATGTCCCATGGGGTTTCTGAGTAAAGCATTCAGAGGGCGGACAACCGACCTCCCCCCCTCCTCTACTAGGAATCATTGAGCTCTATCTCCCCTCCCTGGTATGTAGCATAAAAAACTCCCCGATCGAGCCTATACCCATCGCGTCGATTCCTACTCGAGCCTTCATGTCACCCTATTCTTCCGGCGCCGTAGAATCTCCCGACTGGACTTACCAGTCTTGGCATGCCTTCTTCAACCACCCCCCCTCCCCAGTATATACACAGAATCGATCGTCTCAATCACTTCCTTACTCTCCTACCTGCCGACAGGCGACCCCGTGTCCCTTTGAGCTACTGCCGCTGGCTGCCGGTAGTGGGGAGCTAGAGTACCGCCAGCGCAATGCACGCAAGGGGTGAGAATGTTGGGGGTCTACTCTATGATATTGATGCCCCACTGTGCATGTAGGTACACGTTACTTGGCGGATCCTTCCTGAGATAGACCCCAGAATATGAGGGTCTAAATCATAATATCGTTCGTTGATAGCTAGAAGTGGTTGTTTATATCGACCGATCCATATAATAGACTTTTTTCTGAATGGGCTGGGGAGCAATGAATCGGACCCCGCAGAGTTATGCCATTCCTGTGGTATGCAGGAGGCAAGGGTTTTTATTGAACATGTGTGTGTTTGTGTGTGTGTGTGGAGGGATAGGGATAAGAACAACAACAAGAATAAGAAGGTTGCTGTCGAGTGATGTAGCATGATGAGTTGCCCTGGATTGGAAAAAAATGGGCTGATTTGCTAGGACCGGTGATAATGGTGTTGGATGCTTGACCTGGCTTATCTGCGTATAAAAAGATATCATGTAGTGAGAAGCTTAAGCTTAGGTTATATCGTAGTAGTAGTACCTACATTCATACTACATGTATGTACTCTATGTAGATGTATGTAGCCCCATTTAAATTTCCCCACAGATCAATATATTAACCTATTCACCGCTGCCACTGGCGTAGCGAGCCCTAGTAAAGAATGGGCGCCAGATCATAGCAGAACAAAGTAATAGATTTGGATAAGTAAATTACCCACGTAGCTAGATGGATGGGCATCTTTCACCGATACATTTTACCCTGATATCTCCCATCTAAATATATTGATAGTGGCGGAGAAACCGGCCGGCCCAAGGAATATAGAAACCGGCTACAACGTAGATCTCTCTAACCACCTGCGTGAGTGGGGGCCAATATTGAAAGTAAATGATTCAAACGTCTACTGTGATGTCGGCGAGTTCACTGTAAATTCCTAGCAAGAACACGTCGCCCCTAGTTCTCTACGAATTCTCGACATGGATTTCGACACCTAGAGTCCGACGCTATGTCTTGTAAACAATTTAAGACCGAAACATCAAACTTGGTCGTGACTTACCTCAATACCCCCCTGAGCCAGTTAGCTGAAACATGTCTGTTCACCAAACTTTGTTTCTATTTTCCCACCTCTAGTCCGAGCCCTCATTTGTGTTGTCTTTCGATCATTTCCCACCCAAGACCGTCGATCTACCATGCTGATAGCGCCCTTCCCGGTGTTTACTATTCCAACTTAAGCTTCATGGCGGATCAAACCACCCCTAACATGAGGGTTAGGGTTCCAGTTTCAGAGAAAAAAGTCATACGATGTTATGCGTATCCGAGGACTTGGTAAATGCCTCAGCCTTCTCATACTTTATTCCAACAACTCTTCTTCTTCCTCCCTTCTTTGTGACTACATAGCATGTCCATCTTCCTTTTTCTTTGCTTTCTTCTACGGCTTCTACTATTGCTTGGTCACTCAAGATGATCGGGTGGCTGCATCATGGCACATCGAAGATATGAGACAAAAAAAATAAACAAGCACGTGGAATTTTTTCTCGAAACATGTTGAATTCTAGGCATAGTGATTCTAACCTGCTATAGAGTACTACTTTACGGCCTTGAAGGGGGAAAAAAAAATAAAGCCTATCCAAGCCATCGAACCAAAAAGAAACCCAAACCCATATGAAAATACAACCCCAGAGACGACAAAAAAAAAAGAAGCGACTCCTAAACGGATACAAAACAACTCATCGCGCCAACCTAGCCATACAGCCATGGCAGTGGGAAAAAAATAAGAAGGAAAAAAAAAAGGAAAAGGAAAAGGAAATAACCCTCTCCGCAGAAGGTTTCTGCTTCTATGTCTTACAAAACCCGGTGTCTACTCATTTGTAGCAGTAGACATCCGTGTTTGGATCAGCCGGCACTTCCAAGACACCACAGGTCCCGTGAGCCACATCATAGACGAATCCATGCACCTCGAGTCCTCGCTCCTCCATAGCCTCGATGACACTCTCGTTGCGCTTAATAGAGTTTACTCCGGCCACAACGTTAAGTTCGACAAGGCGCTCGACACGCTTAACCGGGTCCGAGATGGCGGCCAACTCCTCCTTGTTAGCGACGCGAATGTCGCGGAGATTTTGCAACCAGTGATCGATCAGACCGTATCTCTTGTTGCCCAGAGCGGCCATAACACCACCACAGCCGTAATGTCCGCAAACAATAATGTGCTTGACCTATGAGTCATAGCATGTCAGTGATCACTGTGCACGAAAAAAAAGCTCAACAAAAAAAAAGTGATGGGGAAACAAACCTGCAAGACCTCAACGGCATACTGGATGACGCTAAGAGAGCTCAAATCACCTGTGGGAAGGATGTTGGCAATGTTCCGGTGAACAAAAACCTCTCCGGGTAGGAGATCTAGAACTGTGGTCTCCGGAACCCGGGAATCACTGCATCCGATCCATAGGATTTGGGGATGCTGCGCGTTGGCGAGAGCTGGAAAGAGAGCAGGTCGGAGAGCAGAGAGACGCTGAGACCACTCCTTATTACGGTGGATAAGCGAATCGATTGTGTCGCCGTCGGTGAAGCGGAAGATGCCTGTGAAAAGGTTGTTAATCAACTGGAAATAGTTGTGAATTATTGAAGACCAAAAAACTTACTAGGATCGTTGCTCATGGTGTCTGTTGAAGGATGAAGAGGGGTCGGTTTGGCAGCTTTGGTTTGGGGGGGACGAGTGTCGTTAAAATAACAGAGGGAGAGGTTCTTGGCAGACTCGACTAGCGCGATATATCCGGTCTAGTTGGATTGGCGGGTGACCGTGTACGGTGATTCGATGATATTCACAAGATGCTTTCGTATGTTTATTCCTCTCTGATGAAGATTGATTGGTGGTAGGGATAAGTCCGCGTTGACGTGGGAAGGATTTGACTGTGGGAGTGGAGGAAGAAAGGCCTGACAGCGAATGGAAGTGGGAATGTCCGACTGATATTCAAAGCGAGGAGACAGAGTAAACAGGGACCCTTAAATACAAGCGCTGCACGTCGTTAGGATATACGTAACTAAGTCATATAAAAATAATCCCAATCATAGAATAGTCGCAATGATAAAAAAAACCGGTGTGCTACATCCTGTCGTTTTAAACCTGCATACCAACATGTTATGGTTAGTTGGTTCTGGACCCTTATCTTGGGGAGAAGGGAAAAGGTGCCCCACGGTGGGGCGCCGCCCCAAACAACAGGAACGGCATATCGAAACCAAACCATTTCGGACAGACATTTTGACGTGATACATGCAGCAGCATCCCACCTAGCGGGGTGTCCCGACAGCAATTCAGGAATCTCAACCATCTTACTCGGCTGGTCCCTCCCATACCAATGATACCATGGATTGAGATACCGACCGACGGCCGTGACATCCGTGGCGCCGAAATCAGATCATCCTTGCAGAGGTTGCAGAGGGGAAACCTTCAGCTGGTGATGGTGACTATTATTGGTGAGATTGATGTTGTAAACCCCGATCCCGAACACCGGCGAGAATTGGAGGGGTCACATAAGCCATAATAGAGTCTCAAAAGTGTGTCTCAATCCCAAAACCCTCGGTAGTAGCGCCCATTCCTGGGTATTGGGGTGTCTTTTCTACTTCTAGAAGTTAAGTGTATTCCAGGTCCGCAGGTTCGAGACACAAGGTGTGGGGAGCAAGGGGTTGATGTTCATGTCTCCGCTGGGGTTTCCTCCGGGCTGCGATTCGTAAGGACTACTTGGACTGTTGTCAGGATTATGTAGAGTACATACTTTAGCGCATGGAATTCCAAATGGCTCTGGGGATGCAGCGGGTAAGTAGTTTGGAGGCGCCTGTGCAAGTGCCAGAGTACATGTACCTACAGTTCTGATATATATCTCGAGCGAGCGGCCGGGAACGGTTGGATTACATCTGTTCTGACTATTACCTATAAAATTTAAACTTGGCCCGCATACAATACCTAGATGTTCTCCTCAATGTGTTTGCAGCACCCCGCAATTACGAGTGCTGGGTATATACATGTAGTTTCAACACCTAATATACACGAAACCTGCTAGTAAAGGTTATAGGACTTAAGGTTTAGGTACCCACACTGAGAAGAGACTTAGGGTTTGGTAAGGTGTTGCCTGGTTAGTAAGGAAAATACCGTTTTCTAAGTGTGAAATTAGAGCCCCGTGAGAAACTCGGGAGTTTTAAACTGAATGTATGACAGACAGTTTTAAACTGGTTAAAAACTGGCTGTCGAAAACCTGGGTGTCATGGTCATAAACTCAACAGCTATTTTGGGAGTGGGCTAGGGTAATTTTAGAGCAAAAATTGGTATTTAGGGTGGGTTAGGGTAATTTGGGTGGTCAAAATTAGAAAATTGAGTCTGAGTTTATGACAGTTTTCAGTTAAAATCAGCAGTTTATGACAGTCCGAGTTTATGACGCAGTTTATAACTCCAGCTCTGAGTTGGTCACGGGGCCCTATGTGAAATATCGCCTTCTGTTTTCACGTTCAACCCTCAGTGTTGTAACTATGTAGAGTACACGTAATTTGGGATAAAGGTATTAAGCTGTAATTGATAGGTCAAGTCCTGAGGTGCATTCCAGAGATCCGTTGAGGCGGAGATGGGCAGATCTAAATGTGTGGAATCCGTGCGCAGCTAATAGCAGCCAGGCCTGGGCGACATTGTAGATGAGATCCTTACGTACATGTAGTACATCAATCGAGAAAAAGTCGACACCAAAGGGCTATCATCCACGACTGACTCGTAGAAACATGTATCTAGAGCACAGTCATTTTTATACCCATTTTACCTATATAACCCTGCACCTGGTAGCTACATACCTGTACTCGCATATCAAGTATGTATTTGCGCAACCAGCAAAACCCACACAGAATCCAGAGAGCTTTCCCATCTCCCCTGAAATTATGTGTCTTCTATCTAGACACCTGAAAGACTCTACAGGCCACTTTTAGGTCATATCTACAAAGAACAAGCACTGAAGGTGAAATGTGTCTAAAAGGGTCCTTTTATGGCACCTTTACCAGTATCTCAATTTGGCCAAGAATTTGAAGCATGGACCTCCTTTATCAAAATTATACTACCGCAAGATTTGGAGCGTTGCACCTGGGCGTTAGAGAAGATCCTGGTATGTAAAAAGCACCAATTTTTGCTCGAACTGTGGCGAATCCTTCAGTTTTTGGTGAGAGAAACTTACCAGGATCTTATTTAACACCCGGGTGCAACGCTCCAACTTTTGCGGTATACTTGGTCGTTGATATTTTGGTTTAGGTGTGGGACTTTTTATGAGTTGTTGAAAACCTCGATTTTTGGTGTGTTTTGCTGGTTGGGCAAATACATAATTGACGTGCGAGTACAATGGAACATGTGTACTCTAGTTCTTAAGCTTACTCAAGAGCACATATTCTTTTACACAAAAGTGCAGAATTGTTATTTCCGACAATAGTAATAGGCTAACACGAACTATTATGTTTATTTGTTTCTTTTTGTAATCCCGTGGTATTTCTTCAACTTCTTCTATTCGAGATATAATCCGATACCTTGAAGACTTGAGTATCTATCTGCCGGCATTCATGTTCAATCTTGTTGAGAAACTGGTTCAGCGAGATTGCCAAGACCATATTACAAGTTTAATGTCTTGGCACATTCCCAAACCATCTCTCGCTTAGTAATACACCACTTGAACATCATCGCATCCACACCTCACCTCGCCTATCTCTGCATGGCGTCCACAACCACCAGCCCAGCTCGAACACCCCTCGCATCACCCCCCTCTGCACCATCAACGCCCGTAAAACCAAAGCGCCGACCGCCGAGATACAAGAACCCCGAGACGGCCGCGCTTCGAACCCGCTGCCGAACCTATCTCGACGAGACCGACTACTCCTTATGGAGCTTCACGGACTTCTGGGGCGGCGACGAAGCCGCCCGTGTTTCATGTCAGGAGATGTGGCATCGAGAACTTCTCCGCATCATCAATGCAGACAAAGATCCACAGCGCGCTAAGGCTGCCGTGGTAGCGAGGAATAAGTACAAGCAAGTATGTACCTGTTGGCTCCTAGGATTCGGTTTTGTGGTTAGGATAGCCACCATATCTACGCTGGGGCTCGGATGTGGCCACTCTCGATAAATTGGCATACCAGATCGATCTCGCTCAATCGGTATACCGTCTGAGGAACGGATACTCGACCGGCCCTGTCTGCTCGGCCAACCTGTGTTGAGTTCTATCTCACCAGCTGGCCTTGATGGCTCGACCGGTCGATATCGTTATCCCGCCCGAAGAATGATGTCCTACCGGCCCTGCCTGCTCGGTTAGTCTGGATTGAGCTCTGTCTCACCAGCTGGCCCTGATCTGGCTCGGTCGGTTTGGAGGTTACGGCCTTGCCCGCAAAGTCCGTCTGGGTTGAGCATTGCCCCTCAGACAGACATTGATCTGGCTCGGTCGGTCGAGCGAGCGATTGAACGATCTGGAGTTAAGGCCTTTCGAAGGACCACAGATGGCCCTGCCTGCGCGGTCTATCTGAGCTGGGCTTTGCCCTCAGATGACCCTGATCTGGCTCGGTTGGTCTGAGTTTGTTGCACTTGCCTCTACGGCTATCAATCCCAGTGAGTGTGGTGGTTATGCTAGCTGATCTTGAGGCAGCGTGGGCAGGTATCTGAAGTATCGAATGGCAGCAAGGCCGCAAAACCTAAGGCCAAGACGCAAAAGCATAGCGGAAAAGTTCGTTTTCTCCTCTTCTCGCTTTTCCCTGTTCAAGGTTACTAATATTTGTAGTCCGGCATACCTGACCCACCACAGCCACAACTACCACCACCAGCATACGAGCCGTCATCACCAGATATAAGGAGTCCTAACTCCAAGCCTCTGAGCCTTCACGAGCAAAAACACGAATCACTATCAGCAGACCGCAGGTGGAATCTCCCTACGGGCCGATCCGTAGAGGATGTCCTCTTTTCGTGGGTGGTATCGCAGTCGGATGAGGCTAGACGGGTTGGACAGGTTCCACGAGAGTCGTACGCACATTCGTACATATTAGATGTGGAGGACCCAAATATCAAGCGTTTGTTCGACGATGAGGAATGGGGCATCATTGTTTCCCGGCTTCTACCGTTGCCCGCAGTCGATGATTCTTTAAGATCGTTCATGTACAAGTTTGCCGATGTAAGATACATTGTAGCTACAGTCGACTATAGTTTTAACTAATCATTGGCGCAGGCCAAAAATACGTCTGAGCTTCGTCATCTGCTTATCTCTACACCTTACATATCCCCAGACAAGACTTACTCGCTCGAGAAGCACGGCGACCAAGCATGGGTGCATTCGGCTTTGTCCTCTCTGTTCGTTTATCACTCCTCCCTGCGCTACCTTCCCTACCACTAACACCGCCCCAGCGTCATTCTTTACGAGCATAGTCTTGTGTCGGGCAACGATAACCTAGAAGCATGGTTCCAGATCAACGTCTGGGGCCCTATTTTCGACCGTTGCTTCCAGCACATCCCCAACATCTCTGTTAAACGGTATTCCCTCTCACTTCCTCTTCTATTATCTCACATACTAACCCAAAACCCTTGCAGCACCGAGTCCCAATCGCTCTCAAATACAACCCGCAAGAACCCCCACCCCCCAACCACAACTCGTAAATGCATTGGCAATCGATATGACGGCCTCATTACACACAACCGTCTCGAATATGGCGCAGTAGAGGATAGCAAGGACTATGAATACAAGAAATGGGCATCTGATTCGCTCAAGCTAGTTAAAGTCTTGCACGATCAACTGCGGGGCCTAGAGACAGAAGTGCGACATGTGACAACGGCACTAGAGGGGTTTCGGTGCGTGGGTTTTTTGACGGCAGGTAAGCTACCGATTGCCTTCTTTCCAGATTAGAGGAAAGGAGAGTTCACTCATAATTGTATTGATAGGGCTCGAGTGTCGTGGACTGTTCATGCAGTATGGTGGCGGGCACGTGTGTCTACTCAGTCGCAGCGAGGGATACAAAGTCCCTGAAGCTATTTCACCGGTATCCAAGCTTATTGCGGTACTGGTTGGAGTGTGGCAGATGAGAGTGAGTTTCACCCTCTCCCGATTGTGTGGGGCTGACCGGGGACTAATGACACTGCTGTGAAAGGAGGTCGTAAGAGCGTCTGTTGGGAACCTAGAGGATTTCTTGGCGAACACAGAGATGCAGTTCAAGGTTGCACTGGGACAGATGGCCAGGCTGCCGGCTATATTGCCGGTATGCATGGATACGGATGCGGATTTTTGAAGTTGATACCTAGTTCCAAGTTATATCGAAATATTAAGTTTTGAATTCTCTACAAAATTTGAGCCTTTATTCACATAGTTATATTGGGGGTATACACGGTACATGTCTTCATGTGGTAACGTATCTCACGGAAAAGTCAGATGTCGCTGTGAAGTTAGATATCTTAGAACGCCTATTCACTTAATTTGCTCTTGTTCTAGTCATCTCAACTGTTTATTTGTTGTTTGTAAGCTAATGCCTAAACGATTATCTTGAGCGCTAGGGGTGGGGTACACTACTGTCTTCTGCATATAGACGAAACTCTTGAGGGAAAATAACCTAATAGTAGCGATACTTTACGCTCTACGAATTAGTTGATGTCCAGTCTTATTGGTCTTCCATTATTAATACCCCTAAAAATATAGAACACGTAACACCTTGCTGTCATTGAGAATCCCACCATCATCTATAGGTCACCACGAGTCACTCGATTTGCTTGGCTTTCTTGGCACCTTGGTTGGCTGTGTTTCCCCGCGGGCCCGGCTAAGTAAGCCACGCTGATTATCGAGTCTTGGATACGACCGTGGCCATAGGGGTGAATAAAGACTGGGAATGGGCCTGTACAGCAGCTTGCAGTACTGTACATAGCCTACCAAATCCTTGACCATGACAGACCGAATTAAGGACGCAGAATCTTTCAACGACACCCGAGGTAAGAGGATTAACAGTCAATATACCCGGAGTCTTAGTCCGAAATCTGCCGCGCAACCTATCAAAGGATTATCTGGTTATTCGCGTCAACCCGGGTGAGTGCCAGATGCGGACACAATTAAATACTGCTGGAAATATGGAGTTCAATAGGTGTTAACCTCTGGGGATTGCTATAATAGCTCTAGACCTCGGAGTAAATTAAGCTGCCCGTTTCCCCGTAAATTCCGGAGGCGTGGGTCGAGTGATAGGCCATGATTGTAATGGAAAACTTAAAAGTACAGTCGAGTCTCCCTATAAGGGTACATCGGGACCGAAATTTAGTACCCTTATAGAGATGTTACCCTTATAGTAAGAGCAAATTTGTACCTACAAAGCCCAGTAAGGACCTAAAACACTTACCCTTATAGAGCGATTATTCTTATAGTAGGTAACCTTATAGGGGGATCCGACTGTAGCTCCCTTCTTCGTATCTACTAGTATCTTTTTAAACATATACTAAGAGAATATCCCTAAGTTCACCCAACTATCCATCGCAACCCGACACACCCCCAAGTATCCATCGCAACTCGCTAACCCAGTTTCCGATACACCTCCAACCCATTCGCAAACACCGCCTTCCGGATAGCGCTTCAACAGCGGTGGCCGCGGAGCTCATTTTGTGAGCACAATGGTGTTAAGATTACGTTATCTATAGTTCGAGCGACCGATGTTCGAGAAACCGTTTGCAGAGTAGGTTGGAGTACATGTAGTTAGCTGTATCGACTTGGTTTGTATCTACTATTTTGTATCCATTTGGTTAGTCTCAATTAGTTAGTGGGTCTTGGCACAAATAGGCCTGTCGCGTTTATTTGATTGGTGTCTACTAATATCAACGAGTGGATGTCCGCACGCAAGAAGAGTTAAACCACCAATGGAGGATTCCGTCCTTATTTTCATTTCCCGTCACGTCAATTTCTACCGATATATCACAACTAATTGTAATAGAAAGAAAGCAGGTTAGCAACATTTTAGAGATGATTTTCGGAGTAAGTGACTCTGATACAGGCGAGTGAGTATGAATTTGTCTAGAAGTTAGGATACCGGTAAAACATATTAAGCTGGGTCAATATGGGGGCGGGGTCACAGAATCATCCTGACAGAAACTCGTCATAAATTCTTAACTGTGCCATTTGCACTCGTATAAACAGAAATGCTAGCATGGCCGGCTGAAGAAATGGATGTAGTTACCGTGCAGTACTAGCCCTCGCAACAGAGGTCAAGTTTTTTTTTATCCCTTTATGAATAGATACCTTACTTAGCGAGAGTGTATAGAGGGTGAGCGGTCAGACGTTAGTTCATGGACGCATGTGCCCAGTAAAGTCAATGAGCAGGACAGTTAATATAGTAGGGTCTACCGCATGGATATTAGGCCATGCCTGCCCCGTCAGCGTGTATTGGGGAGGTTTATGATACGTATGTAAAATGTTTGCGGGTAGCGGATAGCCTGGGTATGGGAGATCTGACGGCTTCTATTGTTTGGGAGGAGGAAGATATTGGATATAATCAAGGCTCTCCAGAATTGCGGTGCTGCTAGTGTTTGGATGTGGGTGAGCATATGCGGTGACGCGGTCCTGAGTTTGAAAATATTGGCGGGCTCTTAACTTGGTTCTCTGGTCATCGTCCCTGGGGGCTACATAGGTGCTTGAGTACAGCGACTAACAACCCCCCGAAAAAGCACCGAGGCAGCGCAACCCACGGTTCCCACCAAGGCCAAGAGGCAGAAAACACCAAGGATTAATTTATGAGGTATGGTGCGCCTACGCATAAAGGTAGCGGATCGCGACAAAATCTCAAAAGCCTAAGGCTCCGTAACGAAAAATGGTAAAAAAAAAGCGGAAAAATAGAACTCTAGTTCAAGAGATGAAGTTTAGTTCTATTTTTGCAGATTTTTGATATCTGTCTGGGTTGTAAAGCCTTAGGGTTTTGAAATTGTGGATTTTTGTATGTAAAATGCGCCAAGACTGAACAGAGTGGAACAGTATTATACCATTTATACCCCCAAAAAAGCAAACCTGACTGATCCGTAGCAGAATGGCTAGAAATGGGCCCTCTTATTGGCCCATGAGGCCCTATTGCAGCCGCAATTGTTCCACTTCCGTATGCCACCATATCACCTTTATGAGTGTGCGCACCATACATGTAGTTACATGGTGCATGGTGGCCCACTTGGACTCTCTACTCGTATTTCTCTGACGTTTGTGGACGCGACTGATATTGCATGCCATACAAAAATACGCCAAGCTCATGATCTTGGGTGTATGCAATAATGGCCCAGTTCAAAAACGTCAGTAGTCCGAACCTTGTAGTTTACTGATCGTGGGCAATGATGGTTTGGCCGGAAGGTGCGAGGAAAACGACACTTTACATAGCTTACGAACCATCTTTTTTCAAACTCACAGATCCTTATGCCTAGACTCCTGGGGATGTCTCGAGAGCTTTGATGCAAGGCAACGTACCCTCGTATCAAAGATGAGGCGTTTAGATACCCAACGAAGCCAGTTTGCCTCGAGAGAATCTTGTCACATCGACAGCTCGGACGGCCTGCCTTATAGAGCACAACAATCGGGGATGGGCTAAGTCTAAAAGCTCGAAAGTTTTTTGTTTCGATGGGTTAGGGTTAATTATACGTAAATACCGAAGTAGATTAATAAACTGATAATTTTTACTTTTTTTTTTTGCTCTCGAGGTATCTACAAGTATTTATGACTGGTATCATTCCGTTTTTACAAAGAATTAACGGTAGTTGCAAACCGCTATCACCTACAGCTTATCTGGCAATGTAACTCCGGGCACTATTACGATTTATCCACCTTCAGAATATCATGCCTTTAGTCCGTGAACTTAAACGAGTTTGTGGTGAAATCAATGGCTCCTCCCTTATAAGACCCCCGTTTTTTCTATAACAAATGTCAGTCTCAAAATAAAAGGAATATTGGTCTTGTGTGAGAAGCAGGTGTGCAGCGACCAGAAAGATCCTTTGAGGATCAAAGGCTATTTTGTGCTGTGTATAATTTACCTCGCGAGGTTGTAGTTGGGATAATGGGGACTAACCTTATTCTTCTCCTTTGTAAACCCTTTTCCCTTTGTGACAATAAGATCCCTGTGAGCCTTCATTGTGTAGTGGTTTTCCGAGAAGCCCAAAGATTCAAAAGTATTATCTTTTAGACGCTCGTTCACGTATACAACTTTAGTAGGGTCAACACGCTGGAAAGGCTTCTTTGGATTATGTTCATTGGCCGTAGAGTTGTCGACAGAGCTGCTACTAGATCCGCTGTTGGAGCCGTTGGAACTGAGGTTAGGTTAGCAAAGGATATCAGTCCAAAGGTAGCTGGGGAGATTTACGACTCTGCATCTTTCTCTTCCGATTTCGCCTTCTTGGATGCTGGTTCGTCAGAGTTGTCGCCCCGTTTGCGTTTGTCACCAGAAACCTCTTCTTTCTTCGGAAGATCTTTTGCGGATTTTTGTTTCGACTTCTTCGGCTTCTTTTTGCTCTTCTTCTCGTCTTCAGGTGGAGAATCCGAATCCGAGCTTGAGCTTGAATCAGAGCTAGCATCTGAACTAGAATCAGAACTAGAATCGGAGCTAGAATCCGAACTTGAGTCTGAACTAGAGCTTGAGTCCGAGCTTGAACTCGAGTCCGAATCTGAACTGGAGGAGCTAGGAGACTTCTCATCGGGTTTGGCCTCAGTGGTCTTGTTCTTCTTGCTTTTCTTGTCTTCCTCATCAGAGGAATCCGAGTCCGAACTAGAATCACTTTTGGAAAGGCTCTTCTTAGAAGCCTTGCTAGAGGTAGATTTGGAAGATGCCTTTGAAGCAACACTTTTGTTGTCGTCGTCGCTGTCGCTCTCTGAGGAAGAGGAGGAGGATGAGCTTGAGGACGAACTTGATTTCGAATCTGAGTCGGAATCGGAGCTGGAGTCGGAGCTAGAACTAGAGCTAGAGCTGTCGCCTTTGAATTTAGCGTTCGTTTTAATCATGACTTGAGCTCAATTGGTTGGAGATTCATACTCTTTCTCACTCTCGCTGCTGTTCGAAGATTTTTTCTCGTCCCCGCTTATAGTAACTGAGGATTCATCCTTAACCTCCTTATCCCCGTCATCAGAGGAATCTGAATCGCTGTCAGAGTCAGAATCGTCAGGCTCAGACGCGGCGGCTCGTTCATCATCGGCTTCGGAGGAGCTGTCGCTATCGTCGCTGCTTTCTTTCTTATCTTCTTCTTTGCTGGCCTCCTTCTTTTTCTTGCTCTTCGCCTTCTCATCCTTTGAATTCCCCTTGCTTGATTGCCATTGATCAAAAAGATCTTTCAAACTTGGATAAACCTCTGGACGTTCAACCTTTTTGGATTCGTATTCGGCGTTGAAAATGGTAAAGGTAGAATTGAAACCGGAATCTTTAAGGAATTGCCCTATGGAAGCAAGGAGCTGTGGAGCAGGTACATCGGCGACTGGAGCGCTCTTTCTCGACTTGCTTTTCTTCTCTTTGGGGCTCATGACTGGTAGTACTGTGTTGAGGACAGCGGTATTTAGTCAACAGTTAGCGGGGTTGAGTTACTGAATGGCGCAACACTGGGGAGGTAGTGGTGTTGTTTGAGGAAAATCAGACTGAGGTGACTGTCGCAGATCTAAATTTGTATGCTCAAAACTTTTTTTTTCGCTCCCTGAGAATTCCACGTGACCCTCAGCCTCTTAGTAGAGACGTGCCTGTTCTAACCGTATACAGTAAGAAACAAACCCCTGTTAGTTAAGCCTCATGAACCAAACTGGCCGTCATCGGATATGTAAGTGCGTTATATACACTGAATATTTTATTTCTTAACTACTTAATCGTTTGTCTTGTTAAGGGTGTCATGTGTAGAGTACATGTAATTACATGTAATGGAAGTGATTGATGGTCGCTGCTGCACATAGGTAACTCTTCTGGGACGGTTGCAACTTGAGTTAGGTACGCCTACAGGTGCTTGGTTGGGCCAGCGACAGCTGCTGACGCTTGCTCCCCCGTGTGTACATTCAACCTCCAACGTCAATCAGCGAAACAGGTACACACAGCTGTGCCTACACGTTGACCTCTCGTTATTAGCAGTCTTTTCGCTCGTACATCACCGAAACCCCAACGTGACACTTCTACTTTCCTTTGGGGTTGAGGACCATGGCGGATCCCTTTCCGCGCAATCGCCCTCCTAACGCTGCCCCCCCTCACCCTAGCTCTGCGGGCAGTGTCACAAAAGCTCAGATATTTGAAGACGAGAAGAAGCGGATAACTGTCTCCTGCTTCTCCAGAACGGACACTGACGGTTCCCGTATGTAATCTTTGCCCGGGAGTACAGTATAGAATCAACATCATCTCTCTAACCTCGTCACTCTACGCGTTCCTAGTTCTTGAGTCCTATATCACACACTGCAAGGTCGTCGAAGATGCTACGTCCCCATCAGCACCACCGCCGCCGGATGCTCCTAGCGATCAGAAGAAAGAGCGTGTGATAATCATTGCTGTTCGGAAATCCGGTAGAGTTCGTATGCACAAAGCTAGAGAAAATAACAATGGAACGTTTCAAATTGGAAAGACATGGAATTTGGATGATCTCCAGGAGATTGAAAATTATTCGCCACCCAATGAAAAAGGATTCACGGTTACTATATTAAAACCTTATTATTGGCAAGCGAACTCGAGTAAAGAGAAAGACTTCTTTATTTCCTCAATGCTCAAGATCTTCAAAAAATATACAGGGGGGAAAATACCGAACCTTATTGGGTTTGAAAGGACGGATATCGATAGAATGGTTGATGGAGCTGCAAGTTTGCAGGTAAGGCAACGTCAAGAGGAAGAAGGATCTCGGGGGCATACACCACCAAATTTGCCTACGAGTCTATCACCCCCGTTGCTTAGAAACCTTGCAACAGCGCAGTCCATGGACTCCCTAACAAGATCTGCTTCGCGGCAATCTCCAGGGATGAAAGGCATGGATGGATTATCCCCTCCCGTAGGTGTATTGCGGCCATCTCAATCTACAGATCGTCTTCCCAATAGCTCTCGGAGAGCACCAGATCCACTTGCTTTGGGTCGTACCACATCCGGAAGGTCAATAGCATCTAATGATTCTATTCCCCCTCCTATTCCACCCCAAGGGCCTGGAAGGCGTCCCTCTGAAGGTTCTCAAAGATCCGGCCGTCAGCGTTCGAATTCTCGTTCAACTCAGGATGAGGGGGGCGGTCACAGAGCACCCTCAGCAGAGAGAATGCGAAGAACCCCATCTTCCAACAGCCATCAATCTCGGGAGCCTGTGGAATACCAGCCCTTTAATAGTAGTAACAGTAGTAGGGTGCCAGATTCGTCCCCTACTGTCCCAGATCATACAGGACGTCCCCAATTGCAATCAAAGAAATCCAATAAGGACGTGGGATCCGCGTTTAGATTAGCCGCGACAGCATTTTCTGCTGGAAACACAAAGTTTAGGCCACAGACTCCAACCACCCCGACCACGCCGGCACCAATGTCAAGAGGCCCTTCTCGCGAACCAGAAAGGCCCGCAGAGCTACCGCAGATCAAGTTTCCAAGAGACCAAGGGAGCGTGAATGATGTAGCTTCAACCGATAGACTAGACGAAAGTGAAGACAGGCGATCGCGATCACGAGATATTCCCCCAATGCAAATCGACCCGCCACCAAAAAGTGAGAGGAGAGCAACACTGACTTCCAGGGATAACATTATGGCGCCATTACGTGAGAAGCCACGAGATTTATCCCCTCAACCTCGGAATCAAGACTCTTTGGATATTCCTGGCCGAAGATCACCATCGCCTGATGGATCTAATTTGGATCCCAATGAGCGCAGTCCTCGAAGTAGATCACGGTCACCCAACACTAAAGGGCGGAAACGAAAATCGGCCAAATCATCTTATTTAGATGATGTGGATACATCTCGTGTGACGGTAGATCTAGAGGATTTGCTGCATGAGTTCAATTGGGATGGACGAGGTAAAGTAGATGAGCTAGAGGCGAGTATTAAAAAGGAGATTGCGACTGTGGAGTCGACCAATATCATCATACACTCTGATGGTGATGATAGGGTTGAGGATCTGTCTGTTTTGCTTGACAAGGCAATTAAAGAATGTGAGGAGATGGATGCACTCCTAACTCTGTATGCTGTTGAATTGACCGTATGTTATACTCTTGTTTTCATGCTCATCGTATCATGATGTCTGATGTTGTGATTCATAGAGTTTGAACGACGATATATCGCACATTGAGAACCAGTCTCAAGGTCTACAGGTCCAAACAGCCAATCAAAAGACTTTACAGAAGGAGCTTCAGAGTCTGTTGGAGACGATATCAATTGTACCACAACAGCTCGACACTCTGAAATGTGGATCCCTTGATTCCGCCCAAGCACTTGAGGGCATCGAAGAAACGCTATTGGCCCTCTATAAAGCAATGGCAACTATTGACCCCCATATTGCGAGTTCCCCGGTTAATAATGGACGGAGGGGCTCTTGGAGTGATGAGGGGATCGGTACGATGCGAGCTCTACAAGAGAAGAAAGAAGGCTACCGGGCGGAGATAAACGCTTTTCTGGCAAGGCAGAGGCAATTCTTAGCTATCAAATTTCAGGCTGAAATTGCGGCACTGGAAAAACATTCCAAGGGCGCAGGGGTGGTCCAATCAGCTAAGCCAAAACTATTAGGGCATGACAGCGCGTATTTATCAATATATAGATTTGTCGGGCTCATAGTTTTTACAAAAGACGTGGACCGGGAGGAATATATGGAGTTACAGAAACTTTATATGAGGCCAGCAAAGCAACTGTTTGAGAACGAGTTCAGAGATCATATTTTTGCTTGGAAGAGGATAACGAGAAAACCAGCGCAGGAGGAAACGGATCTTGGTATGTGAGCCTCATTCATACTCATATCCAAATTGCTAATTTTTATCAGTCTTCACCGTCCAAGAGAAGGAAAACGATAACGTTGCTGTATCTGCTGCACGAAAGTTGACAGTCAAGCGGTCTCAGACATTGGCCAAGATTCGATCACCTACTGGGGAATCCTTTTCCAAGGATAAAAATCAAGATGGAAAAATTCACGCCTACGAAGCATTCGCTGGCGCATTGACGGAAATGTACAATCTTGTATTCAGGGAACAAAACTTCCTCGGCGAGTTTTACCACCTTTCATCTCAATTGCCTGTGGATTTTGTCGAGTTGGCCAGCAATTCTAAGCCAGAAACCCGGCGCTTAGGGGATTTGGGCGGCATAAAACCATCTGATCAGGATAAGATTAAAGGAAGGATAATGCTTGAGCTCATGGGTGAACTATTTTCGTTTTGGTTACAGGATTTACAAAATTTATCGGACTGGGTAATAAAGACCGATCCAGTGCACTGTGCCGGGGTATTATTTGCGATCGAGGAAAAAATTGATTCCCTAGAAGAGACAAATCAAGAGTACTTGCTCAAAACGTTGCAAAAGTTGCATGATCGGTTGGCGGGCTTGTTCTCAAGGTTTTTAGATGAGCAAATCAAGGCCATCGAGGAGACAAAGGTGAAGATCAAAAAGAGGAAAGGAGTTATTACTTTTATGAAAGTATTCCCGGTAAGATTTGTCTCAGTTTTTATTCTTGGGTTTAATTTCTGATGGATTTGATCATAGGGCTTCTCTGCAAAGATCGAAGACCAGTTACCGCCCGAAAGCTCCAATCAGGATGATGAGCTGGATGTTAGAGAAATGATCAATGATGGTTACGCGAAAATTAACAAGGCTATGTTCGAGTCTCTTCAAGCAATTGCGAAAGAGAGTCCCGCCGTTGCTAGTCAGAGTGTCGACCCCGAAGATAAGGAGCAATTGAACTATCACATCATGATGATCGAAAATATGCATCATTATTTGGAGGAGGTAGATACCAGAAGCAACTCTATCCTGGTGGATTTTAAGAAAAAGGCGGATGCCGAATTCAAGGAACATATGGGTCTTTACATCAGTGCCGTTATTAGGAGACCACTTGGTAAAATTCTGGTACGAATCCACCCCCATCAAGGAAGCCAGGGAGGATAGCTAATTTCCGTAATCAATAGGACTTTATTGAAGGAGTTGAGGTACTACAAAGATCCGGTACAGAGGAAATTTCGACACGACACTCTCATTCGAAATCTGTATACAAGAAGATCCTCGGAAACCACGACGGCAAGGAAATCAAGCGTGGAATTGAGACCTTGAGAAAGCGCGTGGATAAACATTTCGGCGATTCAGACGGCCCAGCCCTGTGCACAAGACTACTCGAGAAAATCTTTGATAGGCTTGAGGCCGAGTACATTGATACACATAAGCGTGCACAGAAGTTATTGTTGACAGTGTACAAGGATCAAGGCCTGGAGCTAGAATTTATGGTGCAGGATGTGCAGACAGCATTCAGGAAGTAGATGGCTCTTTTATTTTATTGCAATTGAGGGCTTTTACACTTGCGGATAGCTAGGAACGAAATACTACCAATGGAGGCTTCAGGTTTATAAAAGACATTTGGCCCCTGCCTTATATATGCTCTTCATTTATTTTCTTTCAATAGCGTAATTTTTATCTCGGATTATTTTCATGAAGTTTTATCGAACATTCAGTTATAATAGATAGTGGCATAAAGTCATATTGGATATATGAACCTTTGATGAGGTGAATATTAAGTGCATGTGCTAAAACAAGAAATTGCAACTAGCTCTCGAGTCCATATATACCTGGAAGTAGAGCTAGCAAAACAAAAATCTGACCTAGATATGCTGCGCTGAGGAATTTCGACCACCAATATCGACTACGCAGCAGCTCGTGGTGTAAGTTGATGTGCAGAGTATTACGGATAGGGGACGGACCGCTAACACTTTCCCACTATATACATACATGCCTCATTCCCATTACCCTCAAGGCTCAATGAAGTTATAATTGGATAGATACATATGTATGTGGTATCGTTTCTGCATAGAGAAACGAGTAGTAAAGGCGTCGAGTCCACAAGCTATCAAATGAAATATCAAGTATCCTAACATCGTCATCTCATAATCTTTTGGGGAAATACACGTTAATTCGAAAACCAAGACATATCACTACTTAATTACAGGCCGGTATCATAACATTGCGTAAAAAATAGGAAGGGGGGGGAATTTCTAAATAAAAAATTGCAACTATCCCACATACACGAAACATTCGGGGAGAAAGGAAATAAATTAATGCCGATCCTATCAACCACATCCTGAACAAGAAACTCCATCTTTCAAAAAGGAAAATAGATACACAAACCCTACCAATCCTGCCCACATTGCTCGGCCACTCAAAGAACCTTCTGCAACTTCGCCTTGTAATATGCGTGACTCAGGTTCATCGTCTTTTTGAGATATTGATCTTCTGTAAGTGGGAGTTCCAGTACTTTCCCAGCATCATTCATAGGCATTTTACCACTCTTCAGCACCCAGGATCCAACAACACCTGCCATCTCGCGGATAGCAACGTTCTGTAAGAAAAGCTTCCTATCCGCGCTCCCCAAACTGACTAAAAGGCGTTTTGCGACATCGGTGATCCCACTCTTCGCAGGCAAGCCTTTTTGTTCGGTTTTTATAACCACCGGTCTGGACGTAGATCCACCACCCTGTACGAATTCTACAAGAGTGATGTAATCCAAATAGACTTGTCCACCAAGGCCCCAGGTTTTAACCAAATTAACATCTTCAAACTTTGCCAAGATAGCCTTGAGTTGTTCAAGATCACCCGAAATGATAGCTTCGGGGGCGACTTGTTCGATAACAGTTTTGTGGGCTTCGTTCCACGCTTGAGCGGAGAGAAGATATTCTGCTTCAATGAGGTGTTCTCCAGAATGCCGAGCTTTGAGGGCCTATACAAAACCATCAGTTAACGTTCGATCATTTAATGCACACAGCTCCGGGGGAATAAACATACTCTCGCTTCAAAAATCCATTTTTGAGGAATTAGTAAATTCTTCTCCAAGAAGTCAAGTTTCTTTGCCACCTCTGGCCCTTCAACTTCCACAAGCTCGTCGAGATGTCGCCCCAGTACATTTCTGATGGCAGTTTCTCTACTATCCGTATCGATCAGGTGTAGTAGTACGAAAATTGCCCACTCCCACAACCCCCCAATTTCAAGACCTCCGGCGAAATCAATGGTAACTTGGTCCGCTATTGGGCCGGGCGCGTACTCTTCACTTCCATCATCCAAAAATTGTACTTTCCCGCCATCAAAATCTCTAATTCCTTTGCGTGCAAAAATTGTTCTAAGTTGCCAACTAAGTCTGTAGTTGAGATTGCTGAAGGCTATACTTTTCGGTGAAAGGGCATCCTCCAAATTAAACTTGGTGTCGGCATAGATTTTCAACAATCCCCAGAGAATATCAAGAATGTCATAGTTATCAGATTGAGAGATGCTGTGGTACCAAGGAAGTGGAGCCGGAACGTTTCCAGGCCATTGGTTCATCTCTCGTTCATATGCAGATACAGCACTACCAATTCCATCCTCTTCCGCACACCCATACCATAGCTTCAGGGCAAACCCACGCTTCCAGTCAAGGCCAAACTTCTGAGTTAGAAAGAATTCCTGAGCAGCATCTTCCTGTGGCGCTTTGACGCCTTCGGAGAAGCAGGTGTTCCCAGATAAAAGCTCGTAGAGTGCTCTGATTGCTATCGGAATTTCTGCAAGCACACCCTTCTTCCGCCACTCATTGATTTGTTTCTTAATCAGCTCCCTAGAAATAGCGTCACCACCAACCATAGGAAGTAGAGTTGCGAGCCGGAAATCGCCAGCTTCTAGAAGAGCTGCGCAGGCCTGTTCAACGCGATGTGCGGTTAAATGGGCAAATGCAGTCTCTTCAAGAGTGGAAGCTTTATGCGCATGATCGTCGGCATCGGCTTCAACTAATTCTTCCAAAAATTTCGACAATTTCTCTTTACGACGTTTCTCGCGCATGTAATTCAGCCGGTGATCGTTTTCGCCGTCAGGGTTGGCATCGTCAATCGGGTCCCAAAGAACGCTGGCGAGCGCCCAGACGCTCTTCTCATGTTGACTTGCCGCGTCTTGTGCCCAAGGGAGCTCCGTGAAGTGATGGAATAGTGTTCGGTCATCCAATACAGCTACAGGGACACCATACTCATCTAGCTTGATGGTGCTTGCCCTGAATTGAAGTTCCAAGGGCTTAGGGGCAACCTGCGACTCAGAATCCTATATATAAAAAAAATCTTGTAAATATTCATAAATAAATAACCCTAGGCAAGGGAAACAAACCTGAACAGGAAATTTCAACCTTGCAGCCTTGAGGTCAGTATCACCGCCTTTCCTCCTAGTCTGCCTCAAGCCTTCAAGCTCGCCCACAAAAATAAGTGTTCCATCATGCCCCCAAGCTGGCCTTACAGCCTTTCGCCAGCTCCGATCTAAGGCATTCTCATCTTCGAGATCAAGCCTTTTCGCAGTTGACGATCGATTTTGTTGATACCGTGAAGACTTAGGAGACTACATAGAAACCGCGAAATAATTTCAGTGATTGGAATTCAACATTGAGCTTACATGACATGAGGTTGGTGTTTGATTGCTTAAAATCACTACAGGGGTATGCTAAAACAAAAAGATGGAAACAAAAAACAAAAGGGCGAAGACAGCTTATACCTCAATTTTATCCCACGCTCTTGAAAATACCCCATTTTCTTTTTTTGTGCCACCGTTGATATCAGAAGAGCCACCATAAAGATCATTCGCCAAATCCAACACGCCATAATTCAGAGGTTGCAACTTTTTTACTGGGCTAGTTCTCTCAGTCTTTGAGGGGGAAAAAAAGTTCGTTCCTCCAAATCTTTTCTTCACCGGGCTGATTGTTGCATTCAACTGCTCAGTCCAGTCGTTACCGAGAGGTAAGGCCCTTTGGTTGCTATGAAAATCCACTTCCTTTGTCGCACTTTCAATCATACTAGATTCTGCGGGATTGGTATATCCCACTGTGGCATCCTCTTCATCCTCCTCGTAAACGACTGTCAGGTCTTGAGCAGTCTCATCCTCCAAGTACTCCTCCTCCGAAGCAGGCTCCGCAGGCTCGTCTTCTTCCTCGACGCTACCTACGGAGCCTTCCCCTAAAAAAGACTCGCCAGCCATCGTAGTGTCGGCCTCCTCCTCTTCCTCCTCCTCGTCATAAGTGTCGAAAGTGGCTTCGGTTTCATCTCCACCTAAAAAAGACGTGGGAAATCCATCATTACGAGCATTTCTACCATTTGATAACCGTTTGAAATCAAAAGTATCGTCAAATACTCCAGTATCCATGCCACTCGCATCCGCATCTGATGCATCCATGCTATCCTCTCGATCAAAATATGAAGAAGCTGTGCTTCTAGTAGGAGTGAGGTCTTCGGTAGCTTTCTCGGCAGCTTTCCTCTCGCGTAGTATGGATTCATCATATGTAATATCGCCCTCATCACCCTCATCATCATCACTATCCACTAATCCATACGTGGTAAAATGTTGAACTTTGAAAATCCAGATGCCTTCATCGGCGAGATAGTCGACAAATTCGGTATCCTTGATGTTTTGCAATCGGCGGATATGACTGCTGTACCTTGGGTGTTCAGGATCCTTGATTTTCCCACGTTCGTCCTTAGAAATAGGATAGCAATCCTCCAGGGTAATTGTGGCAGGAACATTGAGACCATATCCTGGGGGCGCCTTGTCCATTACGCCTACGGGGTAAACTGTGCAGACCCGGAGATCAAAGACTACAATTTTACCAGGGATTTCCTCGGGATCAAGATCAGTGATATCGACAGGATTATCGAATCTAATTTTGCCGTATCCACGGCGTCCGATAGTCAATCCAATCACTTTCGTCTGCTGCTCCTTTGTCATTCCCTTGAGCTTTTGAGCACTGGGAACCATCCAGTAGCTACCATGAGATTTATCCTCCGCAGGCTTTTCGACAACGGCAAGGGCGGTGCTAGACTCAGGCTGAGCTTCTGGCGCACTAGAAGAAGAAGCACCATTGGACAGGCCATCTATACTTCTGCGTGACGGACTTCTTAAAAACCCCATCTCTTCAGCAGAGGGTGTTGGGCCGGTAGTCTCTCTCGAAGGTTGGCCATTTGCACTGAAGAAATCGGCATTGGTTCCCTTGCTTGTAGCAACGTCAAAGCTAACAGTTTTCTTCAGAATACTCTTTGTGCCGTTACCCTTCATGACTTCGTTATTCGCAGACTCCTTCCTAAGGTCCTGACCCCCAGAAAACAAATCTTGGTCCCTAATCTTCTTATCAATGACTAACTTCTTAAGACTGGCAACACGGGCACCAGAGCCTGGCGTGAAAGAGCCTGAACTCAAAACAGAATCGTCGCTATCGAAAAGGTGCAACTTGTTACTTGAAGAGAAAGAACGTGAAAGACTTGTTCCCGTGCTGCTAGCTGTATTTCCAGATGTAGAAGTTGCGAAAGGAGAGCCACTTCTCGAAAAGCTGCCACCAAGACGAGGGGCCAACGAAGGTTGTCTAGGGGCGATCTTGTAGTGTGGGATCAGCGCGGCTTTCTTGGTCTGGATGCTTGAACTAAGGGGGCTAGCAATCGGTCCAACCGGAGCAGCTTGGAAGTTGTTCATTGAAGACATCATGGAAAGGCCATATGGAGAATCATTGATCGATGTGGTAAACTGGCCCTGAAGCTGTTGTTGCTGCTGCCCCTGTTGCCCTGCACCAAATGCACTTGAGAAGAGGCTGTTATTCATCTGCTGTTGCTGCGGTTGCTGTTGTTGATTATTATTGAAGAGGGACCCAGGTGTAGTGTTAAGAGTTGTGTTCAAACCACTAAAAAGGCCATTATTCGTATTCTGTGTTGATGTCTGTGTATTATTGCCAAAAAGACCACTCCCAATGGCCGGCTTAGGCGCATTATTATTCCCGAACAGACCACCCGTTGCCCCAGTATTTTGCTGATTGCCAAATAACCCCCCACCAGTATTTCCAGCGGGTTGATTGTTTCCAAATAATCCGCCGGTATTCGCTTGTGGGGTAGGGTTGCTTCCAAACAATCCACCGCCCGTCGGTTGAGTAGTGGTAGTTGTAGCTCCGAAGGGTTTGGATTGATTGGAGAACAAACCACCAGCATTTTGCGCCTGGTTATTTCCAAAAAGTCCACCCTGGGCTGTCGTATTATTTGGCGCCTGGGTGGTGCCAAATCCACCACCGAAAGCAGGCTTCTGTTGTTGCTGCTGCGGTTGCTGACCAAACCCACCAAACCCAGTCGCTGGTTGGTTCTGTGCAGGAGTATTCCCAAACGCTCCAGCAGCACCAGCACCAAATGTGTTATTCGGTTGCTGGCCTCCAAAAGTGTTCGTTGCAGGTTGCTGTTGGTTTTGGTTATTCCCAAACAATCCCCCACCAGTATTATTGGCTCCGAATGCACCTCCCGTATTAGCTGCAGCACCAAAGCCTGGAGTTGTAGTATTACTAAAGGCAAAAGGCTTTTGTTGATTGTTCTGGTTGGCTTGGTTACCAAATAAACCGCCACCAGTATTGGTATTCGTACCAAATCCTGTTGTCGCGGCATTGTTCCCAAATGCGCCCGTATTTCCAGTGTTGTTATTCGCCCCAAACAACCCTCCTCCGGTGGTAGTTGTGGCAGCTCCAGAAAAGAGGCTAGGAGCAGCTGGCTTGGCGCCGAATAAGCCACCAGACGCAGCAGTATTGCTCGCTCCAAAAGCATTATTCGTCGGCTGGGCTCCAAATGGCGTTGTAGTTGTGTTGGTGTTATTGTTACCAAATAGACCACCACCAGTAGCAGTATTATTCGTTGCACCAAAAGCCCCAGTGTTGGTATTATTGGCAAACGTACCCCCAAACCCAGTACCTCCGAACCCACCCCCACCGCTGCCAGAATCATTCCCATATCGTCTACCTTGGGCATAATCTTGTAATCTCAGTTCCTAAATTATGTCAGTATTTCCACGAGTAATGAATAATGCGGGAGAATTACCTCAAGAGAGTACTTGGCATAAGCCGGCATAAACGCGATGGTCTGGAAATGGTTCGTGGTATTTCCCTGAGCCTCCTTCTCTGTAAATGCCTGGTACGGCGGGTTAGTAGTCCCGTTAACCAGCGCCTGATTTCCACTAGCACCAAAGCCTAGGCCAGTGTTTGTTCCAGCATTCCCAAAAACACCACCACCGGTAGCCCCAGCAGTTGCTCCAAACAACCCCCCGGCTGTCCCAGCTGTGGTTGTAGCTGTCCCAAATGCGGGCTTCGAACCGCCAAAAAGCCCCCCAGTAGTAGCTGCATTATTTCCAAAGGCGTTGGAGGGTTGTTGCTGTTGATTAGCTCCGAATCCGAATCCGCCGCCAGTATTTGTGTTTGCGGCGGCGTTGCCAAAGATTCCACCCGTTGCAGGAGTGTTGGTAGCGCCAAAGGCGGGCTTCGCGGCGCCAAACGGCGATGAGGCTGCGTTATTATTTGCGCCAAAACCTAAAGGGAGAGAAATGTTAGAATAGGATCCGGATATAATGTTAGATGAGTTTCGTCACGATAGCGAAGTATTGTGACGACATAGGCTGATAGCAGGAAGATTGTAGTATTGCAAAGATATGCAGTCAAAATTAATAAATGACGATGTCTTTGCAAGATAGTCCTCTTGGTTAATGGTCATGGGATAGTAAACGAAGCAATGCCAAGGGGAACAGGCAAATTTTGCAGATATAAAAGCAGACAATGATTGCGACGATGGCGATGATGACAAAAACAGATGTCTAGAAGTACCTCCAGTGGTTGCACCGAAACCGGTGTTCGCCGCAGCACCAAAAGCGCCTTGATTCTGTTGGCCGAACCCACCACCAGTGTTGCCAAAGCCTGGAAAGAAACACGAGCGGGTGGATTAGTCGACCTTGCGTCTTTGAACTGAACGAGCATTCATCATCGCCATCGCCAGCAAGCATCATCCGCCTTCCATTTTATTTCCTTGCGCGAAAATTACGACGCGCCCAATCACGACACGTCTTTCGCTGAGGCATTTCAAGAAACGTCGCTGGAAGGCACTACGAAATCTCCCTGGCTGTGCACAACACGTGAAAACAATCAAGCGAATAAAATAACGTACCTGGGGCAGCAGCAGCGGGCTGACCGAATGCTCCTCCTGAGCCAAAAACGCTTGGATTTCCAGCTTGCTGGTTGTTATTGTTGGCGGCACCAAACGCACCAAAACCACCTGAGCCCCCGGCATTATTGCTAAACAAACTCATGGTGCCGGTGGGGGGTAGAGGTGTTGCGGCGGGTCGTCAATATTTTCGTTAAAGAATTTTTTTTTCCCTTTGATGATTGATGGATGTTGCGTCACGTATCCACTGATTGGAAACTGACTTCGCGCGAATGAAGACGCGCTTTAGGTCAAGCTATCACTCTTTCCGGAAAGGTATAGAGAAGAGGGGGTGAGGAGTGATAATGGGGGAATGAGCGAGGAGGCGGGTTGGGGGAGAAGAGGAAGGGAAGGATAAGGGTAGGGAGATGACGAAGATGATATAGGTTGTTCGGGGGTGATGATGTGTGGTGTGTGTGTTGGAGCAAGCAGAAAGCAACAAAAGGGTTGCCACACGCACAAAACCCCCAGAGAAAAAAATCCTGAACAGCAACGGGTAGGCTGACTCATCATGACACTACACGTAGCTTTGTTAAGACTCACGCCTACGCGCCCACTGCGTACCACAAGCTGTTTATTGGTCAGAGGTGCAGCCCATTGAACATCGAACAGCAAGGCAAAGAACGAACAAAGGCCCGGACCTGTGAATAAAACTACTCGGCGGGCCAGAAATATGCCGAGCTATGTAGGTATAAATACATTTCGATTAAAGTCGTCTGACTAGTTTGTTTCAACCCTTTTTTTTTTATATTAAGAGCAATCTGTTTCCTCCTGCACATTTCTGCCACGGTGAGTACTATGTCTAAGTTGATCTATCGCCTTATCTGCAACTACCTATCCTGGTACTGTTGTGTGACACATTCTATCTAGGATTGATTCACCGATTTCAGGAACCGAGTCACCTGACCAGTCGCGTTCGTTAAGTTGTCGACACGATTCTCAAATTCCGCAACAGTAGATGCCAAAAACAACAAATTAAAACAACAACGCCATACACAAATTTATCAATGTTTACCGGTCAAGATCGCCTCGGTACTGGCAGTCGCCAAACAGCAGCACCAGCCTCAACAACGCGTACCCGGCGTGCTGCAAACCGGCAATCTCCTCCACCATCAGGTCCATCGACAGGTGGCGGTCTTGGTACATCTGCTATGACTGGTACCGGGTTATTTGGAGGGCCGGGAGGCAGGGAAAAAAACGTCCCTGGTTACCAGCAGCGAGGCGGTGAGCAGCAGCGTGAGAGAGAACGGGAGCAGCAGCAGCAGCACACAGACACCGGTGGGGCAATAGAGCTGAGTGAAGAGCAAAAAGCCGAAATAAATGAGGCAGTAAGTGATCATATTTGTTTTTGGTTATTGGATAGCTTTGGTATATATTATCTAACATATTTCAGTTCCATCTTTTCGACCTCGACAAAGACCGAATGATCGACTACCACGAACTCAAGGTCTATTTCTTTTTACCATTTACCTATCCAGAGCTTTCTACCATACTAACACATAGCTTTACAGGTAGCAATGAAAGCTCTCGGCTTCGATGTCCCTAAATCAGAGCTTCTGCATATACTCCGAGACCATGGTGTAACTGCCAATATGCAAAAACCTCCACATAATCAGTCGGGCCAGACCCCTAGCAGACTTTTTATAACTCAAGACTCATTCACATCAATCATGACGCAGAAAATCTTGGATAGAAACCCTTTGGAAGAAATATCACGTGCCTTCGACCTATTTGCTGGTGTTGCTGGTGGCATAGGAGACGGCCAGGATGCGAAAATTGCTATTGATGACCTGCGAAGAGTCGCAAAGGAGCTCGGCGAGACACTAGAGGAAGAGGAGTTGAGGGCTATGATTGATGAGTTTGATATTGACAACGATGGCATGAGTATGTCAAAACTATCCCTTCCCTTATTACTACGAACACCAACACTTGCTGACGATTTCATAGTCAGCCGTGATGAATTCATTGCTATCTGCAGGGGCGAGTAATGATAACTCCAAGAAACGGCAGACTTTCTTACTCATTTTTTGGAATTTTTGTAAGATTAGCCGATCCTTTCCTCATTTGATATTTAAAAAAACAACTGAGGAGCCCTGACTTAAAGGTCAGATATATTATGGGGTCTTTCCTTTTCTTTATATTGTTATGGGTTTCTTGCTTTTTTGGTCATTTCCACTGTACCTACTGTATTACTAGCTAGTGGTCAAACAAATAATAATCATACCAACAGAGTATCGCGAATCAAAGGTGCGTGTGCTAATCAATAAGAATCATGGTTTTGTACCCACCTTTATTGCTGGAATTCCTCCATATATAACATGGTTGTAATGTATTTACGTATGATTTTTCACGACTGCTTTTTATAACTCCTGTTTTCTGACTATTGTAATGGAATAATTGGACCCGGCCGGGCCTCATTTTATAGAATTTACAGATCTATAGACGAATTAAAGAAGGAAAGGGGAAATAGATAGAAATAAAGCACCAAAATGTACTTACCCCCAGTTACACGGGGCAAAAATAACAGAAACCACCAGTACTATTTTTTCTTAAATGCAGATACAAAATTCCTCCCTGAATCAATCCTACCAGTCCCAGAGTGACGATTTTTTCCTGAGCGGTGCTCACAGTCTTTTAATAGAAAAACACTTTCCTATTGCTAGAACAATTGAACAACCCCTTCTTCTTCCTATTCAATAAAGCAACACTAACCAGCACCATGCGTATATAAATCCCAGCCCTTCAAAACATATATATGAAACATAAAATCCGGATCCTTTTCTGTAAAGATGGCATATATCCGGGTAGTATGAGGCCTATCGAGGTCGGAGCTGTTATAGGACCGGATAACTGAGCCCAACAACAACAAATTGAAGTAGAAATAAAAAGGAGTGAAGGAATACATGTAGCACCACCACCGCCCGGAGCCAGAAGAGTAAAATCCATTAGACAAAAAGAAAAATATAGATGTGAGGCTAACAAAAAAGAGGGGGGGGGGGGGGGGGGGGGGGGGGGGGAGATGGTAATATTAGACAAAAAGTGTCCAGAATTCCAATTTATTCTCACACTATCAACACCGAAAGCATTGATCCACCCCGTCTCCCTTTGACTAGACCTCGTCCTGAAGCAAAAAGGAATACAAAAAAAATCCCAGACGAACAATCCGAGCTTCACTCAAACTAACTACCCGTTTGCCTGGTTGGACTCGAATTGATGACGAAAAAGAAGAAAAGGAAAGAAGGGCAAAAAAAAGAGGAGAAAAAACCATAATAATGAGTCACTGAATTACAGAAAATAACTTTGACCCACACAAATTCTATAACCTTTCGCTCTACAATTACGACCAGCCACGCTAGATAAATGCTAGCGTCGGCCGTACTAGACTTCGCCAACTTCCCCACTCCCCTCACGTACTTACAGGTCAATCAGATTACCACCCTGCTGTTTCTGTGGCTGCTGCTGCTGACCAAATCCTCCTGCATAAGGGTTCCCCATTGATTGTTGTTGTTGATATCCCCCAAACCCATTCATTCCTGCTGGTCCCGTATGGGCTGGCATAAGCCTATTTGGCTGGGGGCTTAAGGAGCCTCCAAAACCAGTAGATTGCGGAACACCGGTGAACTGTTGACTAAAGAACGGGTTGTTACCTGTGCTCTGTGCAGCCATAGGTCTACCGGTGCGGCTTGTCCCAGCTGAGTTTACAAACATGCTAGGAGCGGTGTGTTGAGCCGGGATACGAAGGTCACCAACGTTACCAAATGTATCCAGCCCATTGGCGTTGCCCGCAGCAAGAAGATTCTCAAGATGCGCGTGCTGTGGGTTGACAGGCTTTTCGGCGGGGGTCGGAGAAGATGGAGCAAAAGACTGTTGATACGATTGGTTTTGGTATGATTGCTGCTGCTGCTGCCTCTGTTGTTGCTGCCTTTGCTGCTCCTGTTGCTGTTGCAACAACTGCTGCTGCCTTTGCTGCTCTTGTTGGCGTTGCTGTTCCTGGTGGAGTAAGTTTAGAGAAGGCATGCCTGTTGATTGTGACTGATTGGAAAAACTGTTTTGAATCTTCGGTGCAAAAGGATTGTTGGATCCAGTGGGCAAAGGCTGCAAAGGCTGAGCTGCTTGATGATTATTTGCGTATGGGTTATTATCACCAGGCTGCAAGAAGCTTTGTTGCTGTTGTGTAGGCTGCGGACTAAGTGACACAGGTGCAATATACGGATTGGTGTAACTAGTTGGTTGTGTGACCATAGGATTCATAAATTGCATTTGTGCATTTTGATCGTATCCAGTGGGCTGTGCAAACTGTTGCTGAGGAAACCCTGTACCTTGAGAGTAGACATTTGCCAAGTAACCAGTGTTTTGCTGAGGTACTGCATTCCCAAAAAAGTCAACCTCCCCAAGTTGCTCGTATTGTGTTGGGTATATTGGCTGTTGGAAGCTCTGTGGTTGTTGAACAGTGGTGGTAGGCGTTGCATCATCAAATAGGCGATCCGCATTGCTCTGTTCTAATTCCCTCTGGCGAAGCTCCTCTTCCTCCTTACTCAACTTTATAGCCTTTGCCAAGTCATCATCCACGTCGGATAATTGCTTATTAGCGTTCTTGCGTTTATCTTCTTCTGCCTGATTCTTACTTGCTTCAATTGCAAGTCGGTATTCTATATCCTCCTCATCTGTTCTACCGCGACCGGATCCGGATGTCCGCTGTTGACGCCTACGCGAGTCGGATTCCGGACGAGCGTGGCCATTTGAAGATGAGGCATAATCTTCTATCCCTGTAACCCTCGACTTCCAAGACTTTCGGTCTTTTCGTTCGCCGCGCAGACGCTCTTCGTCCATAATTAGAGATGTGATTTCCTTAGCAGCTACTCGGACTAGAGAATTTAAAGTCAGTAATTAATATCTAAATAGGAGTTATACCCGGACCGCATACCGTTAACTCCTTGATCTCTGCCCTCTTCGTCGATATGCTGAAACTCTCGCAATGTCTTTATGATGTAAATATTATCCTTGGCCCATACCACAACATTTTCTGAGCCTTCGTGCAAGCAATAATCGAGAACTTTCAGCGCCTTCAATACGTGTCTCCAATTCCTCCCTTTGTCGTTTAGCCGTTTATCGAGCATATCCATGATCTCGAAAAAATCTGTGCCTCTATGTAGCAACTTATGGATCAGCTCTAGGAACATTATGGAGTGCTCTATGAAAGCCTGCGACGACCCTGGAAGGGTAAACTAACACATCAAAAGTCATACGAGCGATCTCGCTCATCTCGGCCCCTGTAGGGCCCCATGGATCATTGCTTGTAGCTAATATCTAGAAGTCAATTATCTACGCATATATGATACCAAAAAATAGAGCTTCGGTTTACCATTTCGAACCTTCACCTGAGTTGATGAATAACCCTTGGTGACGTTCTTCACTGATCTCATAACCTTCGACATAGTTGCGGCTGCAGGTACCTCTAAAAAAGCTAGAATAAATGAAATTTGCAGGCGCCGGTTATTAGTTCCAACTAGCTCTCACACTATTTCCTTCCTTCCTTCTGTGCTCAGTTTCGCGAACAGGACGCCGAGCCTCCCTTAAGACGATCCCGAATCTTTCAGACTGTCGATAGAAGGTGCTTAGATGTCCACGATCGGTTTATTCGACCGTATAAAGATAGACGAAGCGTGACGGATAAGTGATGGTATGGGCCTGTTCGTGGTAAAGAAAGAGGGAGCGATAATCAGGTCTTTGCAGGTGTTGTTGTACTAGGTGTCGTCGTCACCCTTTACTGCGCTCCTGCTGGCGATGGCAACAGGGGCAATGAGGATGCAGGAAAAATGGGCGTGATATTTGATTCGACGGAGGTACGCAAGGTTCAGTTCTTGGTCGTGTGAATGGTGGAGAGCGCTCCGGCAGGTTTTTTTCCTGAGGGGGGAGGTGGGCTGTGGTTGATGGGGGTAGTTGGGCAGTGGTGAGGTGATGCGGAGTAGGTATGTAGGTCTCGGCTTGGAAAGGAGGCGGTGACGCAGCTCGGGCCCTACAACACAAGGTACATGATTTTGTATATACAGGATCTATGTAGTAGTACTATGGTGGAGCACCGGGTCGGGAAGAATATAATGTATAACCACATGTATATACATACCACAACTTGGATCTTTGTATTTTAACCCAAATTGCCTCCGGGAAGACACCGGATAGAATCAAACGAGTATAAGCCTTGCTGATAGAAACATGCTTACTCAATTCACTACTCGTGCAGGCTCATTGTTTACTCCGGCCAAGTCCCATTCAGAGTTCAACCCATGGCGTAATGTCACACAGCACGCAGATGTACCAAGTACGTACAAAGCCGCCCTGATAGCTACTGACATGCAGCCAAAAGCACTGACCATTGAAGTCCACTGACAGGCAACGGCGCCTTCACCCTCCCGAACGTGCTTTACTCTACTACATACAGCCGTCGCAGAAAGCCTTGAAAGGAAAGAAAAGTGCTAAGGCGATCCGATTCCATCGACTGCATGATGTCCCTCTCAACCAGATTCACCGTCACATTGGATGAGTTAGCTACATACTTTAACTAGATTTCTAAATAGTACCAATCTAGTCATTATGGCATTGCAAGTTCGGCACCCTCATTCCACTACGGCTGATCTGTGAGCAACGACCGCGAATATAATGCATATCGAAATTACGGTTCACTTGATTGTCACCGAAGTCTCCTTAACTAAAATTAAATAAATAAAAAATGCATTGTTCGGGGAGTGCTTTTTATTTGTGGACTAGCACAGGCTGCAAAGAAATAACGTCGGTTAGTCCAAAGCTACCTCAGTTTCCGGCTAAATTAATTGGTGACCGAGAGCTCTATCCCACAGCATCTCTTTCACGACTACTTGATCAGGCAGGCCAGGGATTGGTACGTAAAATCAAGAAAACCTAACTTTAAACCAGGAATTAATCTCAACTTCAAAGTACGAATACCCCAGATATTCTAAAAGAGAAAATAACAACTAGTGATTGGGAGCTAGACCAGATAATCCGGCTTATTGAATCGGTTCACTCATCACCTATACTAGTAAATATCATAATGATTCCCAGAGTCACAGAAACTGTTTTTATTCTAAATCATTCATATATGATAAACAAACGACTGCAATAAATCAGATTATCCCGTCCTCCAAACATAATACCGACACTATCGTCTATAATTTTATCACCAAACTCAAGAAGCCACGATACTAAGCGTCCCGCGCGAGCTCGATCTCTATTCTACTACAATCTATTCATACCAAGCTTTCATTTCAAACCAAGAGTAGTTGAATGATATGCAACCTCTCCAGAAATCGAAGATCTCAGTGGGACCAACTATAAATAATTCTAAAGAGACTCCCTATGACTAAAAACAATTACACGTTTATGTTTTAATAATCTCAGCAACCAAAGTCTAAAACATAATACCCACACTAGGTACGGTCACTGGAGCGCGCGTTCCACGCATCTATCTACATTGTTAGCCAGCAACTAAGCTGTCGAAAACCCAAAAATTTATTCCCACAGGAGTGTGGTTTGGGGAATTTTACAGGAATAGGAGAGCCGTATCACAGGAAACGCCCAACCCGATTTATCAGGTTATATTACAGTACGAAAAAACGGGGTGAAATCAGTACTGTATGACTACGGGATTCAGTGAATAATACGGAATTAAACCGGCATTACAAAACGAATACCGTAGCAATGTTGTATTCTTACTGCATTACTAGCACATTAACGGGAATAACGCAGCGAATCCATAGCCTTTTTTTGGTATTGTAGTAAGGCTACATGTGTCCCTTTGGACAAGTCTATACTAAAGGTCCAGCACCAGAGTATGTCCCACCATTTTTGCACGGCCGCAACGGCACCAAAACTACTAGCTATGGAATCCGAAACAGTTAACTCCTCACGGCTTACAAGTAGTGAAGTTTACCATACTAAGACTTTCTTCAATTGCAACTGTGGCTATGGCTAGTTCAGATCCTCTGATTCTTCGATATGAAGCACCTTGATATCTGATAAAGCTACATAAGAGCTTAGTAACCCTTTGAGTTTGAAGCCGAAAATCCCCACGATATATAAAGTTATACCTGTAGGATATACAAAGAACAGAATTCAAGCATGACTACGTCAAGCTTGAACAGTGTAGGCGGGAAGTTCGAATGGCAAGAGCAAGACCTGATCACACGACTTAGGGATTCGATAAACTCGCAGGTGAATCTAAAGTACAGCGACAGGTAATAAGTGATGGAACGCCCTGAGAGTATAAACACCAAATGTTGGTGGCGTTTTACCAAAACAGGTATCGCTATGTTCCATCACTTATTACTTACCGCTGTACAGCCGCATTCGAAAAGTATTGGCACCCTACTATATTGAGTCGTTCATGAATTGTGGCCCACCAAAAACCATGGCACTCGCGCATACTCAACTTATTGATAGGTATGACCGCAATAGAGACATTGCAGCTCTCTCTGGCAATTGTCTCGAATATGAGAATTGAAAAGCAGAAAGGACTGCCTCGTGAGTTTGGCTCGGAGGTGCCAATACTTTTCAAATGCGGCTGTACAATACTGTCAGGTACGTAGGATTTCCCCTCTAAAAGATTGAAAAAATCTAAGTCATGATAAATCACTCATCCATATGTTTCATGGGTAAGTACTATGCTTAGGTAAGAAACAAGTACATGTCATGAATAAGCCGCTAGGTCAAGCAACATACAGTACCACAATTAACAAAAATTACTTTCGCCATAGCCATACAAGATCACGGGAATTTATCGCTAAGGGGGTGAGGTTTAAAAAGAAGTTTCATGGGGTTCTACGACCGCGCGTATATATTAGTGGAGGGCGCAGCGAGATTTCTATATACATAGCGAATGGAAGTAGGTATAACAAATTCTTTTGCTGAGTTTTCCCTCCGCTCTCGGGTTTTCTAATTTCTCTAATTAGCTATATATATATATATAGTGGGCGCCGGGGCATGTATTCGTGCTTAGATACAAAAATATGGCTTAAATATCATATGCTGAATATCCTCAAGTATATTGAGTAGATCCTAAATAATTACAACGGTCTACCGCGTCTAAAAGTCAGCGAAACGCCCTATAGCTTTTTCATAGAGATCGTACGTACATCAATTCCCAATGCTCAGCCATATTGGAGAATTCATGATGATATAGACCATATAAAACGTTAATAAAGGGGATATACGTACCCAGAGAAGCCCCCCATTCGATTTTCGAACAATGATCTTTAAATTTTTGGCTGACTAAAATTATCATTTTGTTCACAGAATATCACTCGGTTTCAAGCTTGGCCTTATCTAATTTGTGATAGCAGAAAAGCAACAGGAAAGCCAGGTCCAGGTTGACAAAGTTCTCTTACGGCCTAAATTTGTATGGAAAATCGATCGGGCTCCAGTAACCGCAAGGCCCCCCAATCTAGGTCATTTGTTTGTCGGAATTTCGGGCTATCAACCACCTACGTGGTCCGGGGTTACGTTCCGTAACCTTGTCGCTGTATGCTCACGAACATACTTGGGCTAGTCTAAACATAAGCTCGAGCACAGATGGTTTCGAAATGCATATACAACTCACACTCACAGGCCTAGGGGTCAATGATATACTTGCATACATCCATGTATTTGGCTCGAGCCCAAAGCTCGAGCCCACAAATATCATCAAACCTGGGCTCGTAAGGTCCTAGGCTTGTTATGTCCAAATCTAAAGCTCGAGCCGGCTCCGCTCCGGGATGGCACTAGAGCACATCGTCAATTCATACAGCAAGTCTCCTCACTACTACCATGTGGGAAAAGGGTCTCACATCTAAACACCTAGGCTGATGCATTTCGCTCTAAAAGAGATCACTGTAAAAATAGATGGCCAATAACCTGATGGAAGAGTCTCAGATAGTAAATGGATGACTGCATAAATACTTACCCCGCAAAGAACTTTATTTCACACAGAATCTAAAAATGAGCGCTCCCTATTGGTTCATGCAGGATAAATCTGTGTTCCCGAGAGAAGGTCGAGGGATATCACTTCGCTGGTAAGTACTTGTAACCACTAGTACATCTTCGCTATCTAGTACATATTATCTTGCTCTAACTACCAGTGAAACCTGACTATTGCTGACTATTGCTGGAATGTATTATACTTAAAAAAAATCATTGACTAATCCTCTAGAGGCCAGATGTCTTACTACAGCGCTGCTGCTGTAACTGTGTAGCTACCACATGTAGAGTAGCTACGTATACCTGGGTGCGCACTCAGTAAATTTCCCGGTTAGATCGGCAAAGTCGCACTCATATCGCCAAGGATGCCATATCCCCGGTTACAAATAGTGTGCCTACAAATGAAGGTTGATTTTGTGTACCAGGGATGATAGGGTGCGAGAGTTGATCTTCCAGAGTAATATCAATG